AGGACTAAAGGAAATACAGGGTCATTATCATATAAAGAAAAGTAAAACAGAATAATTTTGATTTTTCGCAGGGTTGCCAGATCAGCATCTTACAAATCGGAATTCTTTTGCCTGAATTCGGGAAATTTCGGAAAAAATATCTGGCTAATTCGGAAAAGACTCGGAAATTAGTTTTTAAGTTTTTCGACGCTTAAGTTGATTTTTTTCTGGTAAAAAAGCTTTCTGAGTTTGGTTATACTCTCTGTAGATATATTTCATCAATGTTAAAACAAATATATTAAATATAACAGTATTAGAAAATATCATTTTCAAGAGGAGACAGTTACTATGAGAAAAACAACTCAAAATAAACTATCTATACATGTATATATATGTACAATTCAAAACACTTATTGAAAAAAAACTAAAGTTCATTTATCAAGACGTTTGTTTCTAGCAAATTTTTCATTTGAAGCTATTTTTTTCAATAGTTCTTCTTGAGTTAAAAGAAAGTCATAAAAATGGGCACAAGGAATATCGGAATTCTTTCTGATTTGTAGTTCAGCTTCAAGCAATTCGATATCCATTCGATTTCGATAATGAGACAGTAAGTGATTCATGTGACTGAATATTGATTCAACAAAGGCATTGCTACATGAAATAGAAGTCATACTGATAGATGAATCATCAGATTTATCATCCATAATAACGTTTAATTTATTCTGAAATACAACCATTAAAAAGTAAAACGGCATATTTATTTACATTTAGATTAAGCTTTCTAGAGATACTGTTCATTAATGTGACTTCTTTGAAAACCAAACATTGATTGAAGCTATTTTGACAAATCTTAGATGAGATGAGATTATTTTAAAAAATGCTTATCATATTGCATCTTCTCTCTCTTCTCTTCTTATCTGTCAGAATAAAATCAATTATCCAATGATCACAGGAAATAAAGATGGCGCAATATGAAATCTATGAAAAGTTATGCCGAAAATTGTAATGAAAAGAAAATTTTAAAAAGTACCACGATTCGGAAAATTTGGATGAATTCGGAAAGTCGGAAAGCAGTTGGAAAAACTTAGAAAATTCCGAAATTTCCGCCTAATTCGGATAATCTGGCAATCCTGATTTTTCGTGAACCCCACCTGTAAAACCCTTAAATACGATCGCATACGACCGTTTACGAAAGTAAACGGACTTCGTATTCTTCGTCCCGGTATTCTGAGTGTCCGCGTTTCCCTTACGTAATGCTGAGCTAGGTGAGATGATCGTTACTGTGTTGCTAAGAAATACTTACTGAACAGAGTCTGTCTACTAAGAATAACAACAGTGATATGTTGCTTCGTCGAGTTTTTGTCATTCCTTAGAGCAAATGTCAGCAGAACGTGACTTCGTCGAACTTTGCCATTCCTTAGAGCAAATGTTATGAGGGCATGATCGATGACAAAAATCTGCCTGGTGTTAGTATACAGAAGAAAGACATGACAATTGCTTTCATTTCGATTTCAACATGACTTACAGTACATCTCAATTGAATTTCTCCCCTTGATATATTTTTGTTTTTATGACTATACTTCCTTTATTTATTAACGCACTATATACAGGAAGAAAACCCGGAATGTGCTGCAACTTTTGGTATATTTTTATTAGACACCAAATGCAGTTTAAAGTGTAAAAGATGTATTGGAAAAAAAGTGACATTTTTTTGTATTACAGTATGTCCATAATTTTGTCTTTTTTTTATTTCGCATATATCTCGGCTTCGGTAAAAGAAAAAATATTGAATTTTTTTCTAGAAGATGCACCGTAAAGAGTATACAAAACTGTATTATTTAATTCCTTTTTACCTGCTCTAATAATTTTTCTTATACTCAAAATGAAAATCCTATATGACAGTGCCAATTCCGATCATATTGAAAAATATTTGGAAGGCCTTTTCTTGCTTTTTTTTTATTTTGCCTTCACTCTGATCTTATAGATCCTATCATTACAAGTGTAGAAAGAAAAAAAAGAGCAAAGAAAAAAAAGAAAGAAAAGGAGAGAGAAAGAAGAAAGACACAGACGAACAACCAAACAAACAAAAATATAGTAAAGAGTATGATAGACAGAAAGCGAGTAGAGTCAGAAAAAATACAGAGGAGGGTGTGAGTGTGGGTGCGGGGCACAGTAGACAGAAGAAAAGGGGCAGGAACAATTCACAGGTATCAAATAGCTTTTCAGTCGAGATTATGTGCATTATATAGAGTCCATCCGGTTTATCGTTTCGATCGGAGGGTGTGGGTGGATGTGGGTGTGGGTGTCTTGTCCTTCAATCTTCACACCCATACGGACACCCACCCACCCACGCCCTAACCACCACACCCACACTGTAAAAAAAAAGGTTTTTTACAGAACCTAAAAAGGATTTTATCCTCAATACACGGTAAGATCCTTTTTTGGTTTTGTAAAAAATGAGGTTCGGCATTAAACTATATCTCAAAAATTGAAGTAAAGGTTCCGTAGCAAAGGTTTTGCACTGAATCATAGTTCAATAACTGGAATAAAGGTTTCGTATCAAAGGTTTCGTACAAAAATGGTCGACGAAAATAGAAAGACGGTTCCGGAGAAAAGGTTCCGTATAAAACCTATTCCTGAAACGCGAAAGTAAGGTTCCGCACCGAGAGTTCTGTGCTGAGTTTTTATTACCAACATTAGTAAAAGGTTCCGTACAAAATCATATGCACTAAACCTTGTTCCACATCTCCACGCAGCCAAAGCTTCATATAACCCTCTGGCACCACCGGTGGTATGCATACCATTTCGAGTATTTCTCAAAACCCAAGGATGGTATACATCAAACGAATCAAAAGTGGAAACAGTCTATAGAGTAATTTTCTGCATGAATACAGCAAAATTACTACATAGTCTATTTTCCACATACTTTTGATTGATTTGATATACACCAATCTGGGGTTTTCAGAAATACTCGAAATAGGATGCATACAACTAACGGCACCAGAGATTTCAAATCATCGCCAACGACGATTTCCATATTTCAAGCAACCTAAAATATACAAACAAATCAATGTAAACAACTTAAAGAAATAAAACTTACTCCAAGATTTACATGCTTGCAACAACCTACAATAAAAAAGTTACCAATTCCTTTTATTAAATAAGATTCAACTTAACTGAGCATGTATATATATATCGGTGAACCTAGAAGAGGAAAATCAAATCATTTCTTTAATTAAATCTGATAAAACTCACCTAAACATGCATATCTAGATGTACCTAAAATAAAAACATCAATAACATTTTCTATTATAAAAGTTCAAACTTACCTAAATATGCACATCTCGATGAACCTAAAATATAAACATCAATAATATTTTATATTAAAAAGGTTCAAACTTACCCAAACGTATATCTATCGATCAACCGATAATAATAAATAAATCATTTTTTGTATTTGAAATAATAAAACTCGCCTAAATGTGCATGAATGGGTGAGTCTGTAGAAAAAAAATCAATAATTGTTTTTATTAAATAAAATCAAACTTCTATAAACGTCGATACATAGATGAGCTTATAATAATAAAATAAATAATTCTTTTTATTTGAGAAGATCTAACACACCTAAAAGTCGATAGATGGATGAAACTACAATAATAAAACAAATAATTCTTTGTATTTCATAAGATGAAACTTACTTCAAAGTCGATAGATGGATATACCTATAATAAAAAAAGAAGTAAATCATATCTTTTATCAAGTAAGATGAAACTTACGTAAACATCGATAGATGGATGAGCCCATAGTACTAAAATAAATAATATTTTATATTGGAGAAGATAAAACTGGCATCAACGTGCGTACATTTGTGGACCTGTACTAAAAAAATGAATAGTTCTTTTTATATCATAAGATAAAGCTTACCTAAACGTGCATATATGAATGAACCTACAATACAAAAAGAATAATTTTTTTTCTTAGAAGATAATACTTACGTCAATGTGTATATATTCATGAACCTATCATAATAAAAGAAATATTTTTTTGTATTTGAGACGATCAAACTTACTTAGATGTGCATATATGGATGAACTTATAATAAGAAGACATATATTTCTTTTTATTTCATAAGATGAAACTTACTTCAAAGTCGATAGATGGATGAACCTATAACAAAACAAGTTAAGCAATTCTTTTTATATCACAAGATGAAACTGACCTCAATGTGTATATATCAATGAACCTATAGTAAATAAATAATTAATGGTTTTTGATTTGAGAAGATGAGAGTCATCTAAGAGTATATATATCGTCGAACGTATAATGAAAAATAAATAAATTTATTAAATGTGATCTGATGAAAGTTACCTAAAATTGCATATATTGGTCATTGGATAATAGAGTAATTAATTAATTAATTTGTTTCCTAAGATTGAACGTATCTGTCGTTTGTATGTTTGAAGCGACGTGCAACGGTAAATGAGTGATGTTCTTTGATTTGGTTTTATTTGATCAATTGAAACTTACTGAATTTATGTATTCGAGTGAGTGTGTAATGGCAAAAATAATTCTATTTACAGTATTAAGAAAACTCGCTAGTTCGTTATTAGAATTAGTTAAAAAAAGTGTGCTACATTTTCTTAAAATGCAATATATAGGGGTAATTGAAAAAATCGAAACAATATGTTCTGTTATATAGGCTTGACGGATTGAATGTGTGAGTGAGCTGATCAGGTTGACGAACTGAGTTTTGTATGAATGTTGACTACTGTTTTACTGCTTCTCACTCATTGATTTGATGTGTAGAAGATGAATCGTTTAAAAAAATATTCTGTAAAATGGCTAAAAGTTTCCTCTTCTTTTGACGTCATGTGAAAATGTAAAGAAAAAGTAAAGTATAAAATCAATAGCAAAACAGAAAACATAATGACGTACACAGAAGAGGAAACAAAGCAAAAATGAACGAGTCTATTCGATAAAACTTATTCAATTCGGATTCGTTTCGCTGCAAGTCTTGCGGACTATTTTGCAGTTGTTGTGATGGATGAAGATGAAGTTTGTTGTTTACGTTTTCGGTTAATAGCTGCTGAATGAGGTTCTTTCCCTTCTGTATATGTATCTGGTTCATCTTCACACTGCTCTTTTGATGAGGATTTATCCGGAGGATAGATTCTTTTTGTTTTCTCTAAATATATATTGCTGGAATGATCTTCTATGGTAAATGATGATGTTGTTTGACTTTGATAGATTACTGGCGAGCTACATTGAGACATAGAAAGTGGAGAAGCTATTGATAAGTGATTAAGCTCTTCATCATCAGAATTTGATAGTTGATTAAGATCATCATCAGTGTGTTGATTAAGAAATTGTTGATCAATATTGGTTGACCCGGTAAAATTTAAATTAGACGAAGAATATTGATCTTCTTCAATTTGTTCAAGTGATTCACCAACAATCTAAAACAATATCAAAAGTAAACATTCACTTTACGTTAGGGAGAAAGCAACAAAAGCTTAAGATGTCGGTTATTCATTTTAACATGAAACAACTCAACTAACTGTTCTTGCTGTATTTCTATAAAGCTTAAAAATAATTTCATTTATGTTTTATAAAAAAATATATAACACTCTCTGTATATCGTGAAAAAGAAAGAATAGTGAAAAAATGAGTTTTGACACTTCTAGCAGATAACCAGAGATGGACACATCAAAATACGATCTTGAAATGTTTTTTTTTAACTATTAAATTAGATTAAGAGACTTACTTCATTTGCATTATTAGATGAAGATGAGTTTTTGTTCACGATTGATGGTTGAGTAAAATTTTCGATCAGATTTGTAACCATTGCTTGTCGTTTCATCAATGGTCGATTAACAATTTCATATTGCCAGCTATTGAGCAAGTTTTTGAGTGCCTTATTGAGATAATGTGAATCTTCAAATAATATGCCGTAAAGAAGACGACATGTTCGATTATGTAAGCCAAATCGAATTTCAAAAACATAGTATAACGAGAGAAGAAGAGCAAGAGCTGTGGAATAAGAAGTAGTTTCTGTTATTAAACAAAAGTCCAGGTAAATCTCAAATCGGTCATCATGAATTTTCATACATGGATAAGGTACAAGTACATCCTATGTATAAAGTTGAAAAAACATATTTTATACTGAAAAGATAAAGAGACAGTTACCTCATTAGTAAATATATTACCAACGGGATCACCAAAAAATTTACACAGAATACGAATCACACGAATAGGTGATACATCTATAATGAAAAGATATGATATTTTAACATTCTTGGAAAATTTATTTACTCTCCTTAAAAAATAAGTATATAAAAGAGCATCGCTTAAGTTCGTATATAGATAAAATATATGTTTTTGTTGAACTGATGGTCAATTTCCAAGGTGTTATCGCAAAAACATTTTTAGATTTCATATATCAAAATTATACTATGAAAAATTGTCAGTTTGTTAGTTAGAAACATATAGAAAAATAAATTTATTCCGCTTGATATAGATTCAATTGTTTTGAATTTTCCTCGCTTTTTTTCTCAATGTCTTACCAGATAAAAAACAGTTGTTATCAGGTAGATGATCGAAGAACTTTGGCAATAAATCGTTCACATTTTCTTCGATATTAACACCAGCACATTCTTTAACTTCAGCTAAAATCTTTAAAAAAAAGAAAACATAACACAAATCAATTAAGAATGCAGATGATCTATGAAACCTATGGGTAAAATTTGTTTCAAACGTAAGTTTGACACATTATTTGGTGGCATTGTTTCATAAAAAATAATTCATATATCAAAGCCAGTTTTTGCAATTAAAGTATGACACTTATTACTTTCAATGATAATTTCAATGAATAGAAAAATTTGGAAAATGACGCTGTTTTTCAGAAACACTATAAGCAACAACAGTTTTCAAATAAAAACATTTCAATATTTCTCGGAGGTATAATTCGATTAAATTTAAAAAATATTAACAAAAAGGACTTTCAATCATTAGAACAAGCCATTTTTATGCGAGCTTAGAACGACTTATCTTAATTGTTGCAAATTTTACGCTCAAATATTCTGTAAGTAATAGAGAGGGGATGCTTGTCGTATTTGTTAAAGGAAATAGAAGAAAAATTACTTAAGATCTTTGCATAAGAACTATGAAAATAAAATCTGTTGTCTTTTGAAACAAATAAATTCTTCATATTTAAGTTTGTCTCAAAAAACATTCTTAGTAAACTATTATGAGTAGCACTTATCATTTCTGAAAGACGATACCCGGGAAAACGTTCAAGTATTTCAGTTGCAGTTAAATCACGAATACATAAACGACGAATATTAAATGATTGTTGCCAAAGATTATGAAACATATCAAGATCAGGATTATCTTTAAGCAATTCTAATTTCCTTTGATCAACTATAGATAAAAGATTTTCATTTTGTCCATCAGTTATACTAATAATTGGCTATTAAAAAAACTATATGATATACTATCTAAAATAATTTCATCACTTACTATATCATTAATTCGACGTTCAGCTTGTAAAATAGTACTTTTTTTTCGGTCTTCCATTTGTTTTACCATTACCATATTTTTCTTGCTTACTTTTCACAAAATTGGTAGCTATTTATAAAGGTTTACGTTCACGTTTTTATTTCTGCTTGATGCTTTCATGCCAATCTTTCTACAAAAACAAAGCAGAAAATATTCAGTCAATTTTTCAATTTTTTTCTTACCACTGCATCATGATACAATGCTGAAGGAACATGCAGTTTCTTTACCAAACACTTTGCCATAGTCAAATATTCATCATTAGTTGGATAACTAAACTCAAACAGATGGAAGCATGAAAAATGTTATGATTAGTCATGACTTACAGTAGTTTATGTGATTTTGTTCCACCATCAAAAAGAAGCGATAGTAGTTCACCATGCAAAGCTATATGTGGATTAAATTTTGAAATATTATTGTCATCAATGCAATGCTGCATTCTGATAGTTAAATCAGGACCTTGATAATCTGAAGGTAATTTTGCTTTAGCATGAACATCATCATTATCATCAGGAAAATTTATACTTGATGAAAGATTAGCATCTGTTATTTGATGAATATCATTATTTGATTGATGTTTTTCAGTTAAAACAGATGAATCAAGTGTATCATTCTCTTGTATTGAATCTACAGGTTTAAATGATGATGATGATGTTAAATCAAATGCATTAGCTGTTGTTGTTGTTCCATCAATATTTTCATTTTGTTCGCTCAAGCTTGAAGTTAATTTTGTAAGTTGATTAACAAATTTTACACGATCTTTTATTCGAGGAAATATTTCGGCAATATCATTATGTTGAAGTAAAACCAATGTTGAACCATCAATGTCTTCGTCTACAATAGAGAAATAGATCTTTTAGTTAAAAAATAACCAGATGCCAAAAAGAAACATCACTGTTCACTAGAGAACGTTCTTATTAAACTAAATATTTTTTCTCTTACGTATGAATATCAAAAAGAACAGCATTCTTTTTATTGTTTAGTTAAACGAGTTAATACATTTATATAATGTGCTTGTTCAACATCATACATATCGAGACAATGAGGATATATATCAAAACAATGCTCTACATCAATTTTAACCAATGTTCCTGTAAATTCAACTTCATATGGCCATAATTTTTCATTAAATGAAACTGTATTTAACATTTCTGCAATGATAATCAATTTTTCTCTGATATTTAATAGATGATGAATCTGGCAAAATACTGGAATTTCTTCAGCATGTGCAAGATGATGAACAACTATTGATCAGGTCCTAATATTAATATGATGATAATAAATCGAAGTATATTCGTGTATTAAATCAGTTTGAGTCACGTGATTCATCAATAAACGTCGAACAGGAATAGAAAGTTTACACCATTCAATTAATTTAGACGATGGAACTGTTATCGATGATGAGTAGGAGAATGAATTGGAATTGTTCAACATACAATGATGTAATTGATGGCGTTTCGAGAGAGTAAGCAGAGGATTTTTAAAGTTAAACGTACGAATAGCAATTTGCTTGAAATATAAATGTTTAGCTTCAAAACGAATGCAGGAGTTCAATATGGGGAGTCCATGCATTTCAATAGAACGAGGATATTCGGTTATGAAATGAACTTTTGGTATTGCATGATCAGGTAAGTATTCGATCATAAGAGAATGAAATTGTTTACATAAACTATCTAAGTACGATAACCATGACTTTCTAAGTGGATTGGAATAGATGTAACTTATAATTTCACGTAAAATAGTATATAGAGGAAGTAGGGTAAGATCATCAATAATATCGTGAAAGACAAGAGGGAATAAACGAAAAAGACATAATTTTTGACTAGCAGAGCTAGCAATATTCGAATGAGTTAGTTGTTGCTTTTTGACAGGTGGTGGTTTATTTGATGAATCCTAGAATCCATAGATGAAACATGATGTACGTTGTTCAATTTCTGCATAAGTCAAAAGGCGTTGTTGAATAGGTTCTTTTAATAAAGCACTTATGATGAGCGGGCACATACCTCAATTAAAAAAAAAAATTTTTTGTATGTGGAAATACTGTCCTACCCATAGTATTAACTTCAGCGATATCATGCATAAGATCTGGTGGAAGTGATTCGGTAGCATGAAAGCCAATAAGATCTTTAAACCAACTTTCATTTTTAACACCTTGAATAATTTGTCCATCATTATTGGCGATAACTTTATTGACAATCATGTCGTGTTTTAAACGAGTGCGTGGTACAAATGATATATTAGTTAATGGGATATGCCTTTATTCATAAGTAACGAGACAATGACGACAGAAGCTTCCTGAGCTAAAACTTTTCTGGAAACCTCCAACTTCATTGGAGGCTAAATTATCACCGCACAAAGTAGAGAAAATGAAATAAATTCTACTGGAAAGACAAGGAATTGTGATGCCTTCAGTTTGAAGTTTATTAAGATCTTCCACAAGTATCTTCATTAATATCAATCTATTGTTATCGTTGTTCAAATGTTTTGTATAACATATACAATGTAAACCTATTGAATTAACTTGCGATCGAATGATATCAGGTAAATCATCCAACAAATAATAAAAACAAGTAAACTTGTGCGAATCTTTCTTAGGACCAATTAGATTTGTAATAGCAATACAATCTGTATATAATTTCAATAATAAAGCATTAGAATTTGTTTGACGAGAAAGATTTGATTTAACTGAACGACTTTGTCGATTGGATAATATTAGATCGTTGCCTTTAGTTGCACGAGTTGATAAAGAATTAATATTATCAATTATCGCCTGCAGTAATTGACCATTTTGAAGCATAGAAGACAGACTCTGTTTCAATGGAATATAATAAGCCCGTTCTTTAGTTGTATTCAATATGATTTCAGCTGGTGGTTGATAATCGAAATAATTTTTACATTTTTTTGAGAAGTTGTATTCACTTTTACTAGCAGAATTGATAATAAAGCTTAGGTGTGTAAATATTGCTTCCATATCGATAATAGGCACGAAGGATGACGATGCTCTTGTTTTAATCAAATTAATAATTATGTCAAATAAAAAGCAAATGTTAGACGAAATAGATTGCACGACTTTTTGAGGCAGAAGATGATATTCACGAAGTTCGAGAAGAAAACGAGTATAGAATTATGCAAGTTTGCTGAAATTAAGTTGTTCATTAGTAATAGAAAAGATGGTGGAGTCGAAATTAAGAAATTCACGATCTGTATCGTCAAGTTCTTCATCTGGATAAATATATGATTCAGGATCATTAATAACATCTGATTGATTGCTAAAAGTAGGATGAGAAGATAAATTCTCAAAATCATCCACAATATCATCAATATTCGATGATACAGTCTTATTATTGTCAAATGAACCGAAAAGAGAACGATGACAACAGTAAATATGGTTACGATAACTATCAAACGATGAATAACGAGATCCGCAAAGCGCACCTAATTCACAGCGAATATTGAAAGACGATTCTTCACGATGTTCATGGCGAATATGTGTAAATAAAGTACGATAATTGTGGAAAGCGCTTGAGGAAATACACAGTGGACAAAAATAATGTTGTTGAGACATTTTGATGACCCAAAGAACAAAATACTTCAACGTTTATATGAGGTAATCAAACAATGTTATTAAACTAAAAAGTAAAACTTCAAACATTGAACTATATTCTTCCCGAACAAAAAACATAGTAACCTATGATTTCGAACGTATTTAACAATGAACCAGCGTTCTACATTGGCAAATAAGCATTTTTCAATTCTTTCGTTACCGCGACACTTTAATTTATATTACGAACACCACAAAACAGACTAATTCTTTTGAAATAATACAAAATATACCTTTAGCGAAAGAAACACGTTAAAGTGGCGTGATAACGCTTACGGTTCCTATGGAACTGCGTTCGTTGTTCTTTTTCTAAATTTCTAACGCGTCCATTAAAATCGAACTTTCCCCTCATAGTCAGCGTTCATTTTGAAAAGAAAGCATATCTCGCTTAGCATATTGCAAAAACACGAAAAAAGAGATGTTGTCTTATCAATAGTAATATTCAATTTTTTCGATCATCACCAGGGCAATACAATTATAACATGCAGCGCAGTAGTGCAAATGATAGAAAGCAAACCTTACCTTGAAAATAACGTATAATTGATTCATCAGCAATGAATGTCTCAAGCCAAGAAACCACTTTTGAACTTGACAATTTATCCATTCAAAAAAACCAAGTGTCTGAATAAACAAATATCAATCACCATTTCAAATAAATGCCTGTTAAACAAAAATAAGAAGCTGCTTTCTAAATGAAAGCTCTGCTTACAAGATATTCAATAGAGCAGAACAAGCTTGATTGATTCACCGAAAAGAAGAAGAATTATAATGTTGAATGTTGTAATTGTTCCAATTGACCTAAAGACGAATTTGTAATTCAATTATAAGTTTAAATCTTTTTTTTTCTAATACAAGAGACTTCTTTCCTTTGTTGGTTGACGAAAATTTTGCTTACTAGATATGTAATATAGTAGAATAAGTTTGATTGATTCAGGAAAACAAGAATACTTATAATATTTTACCGGTAATTGTTTCAATTAATCTAAAATAGAATTTATAATTGGGTCTAAAATTTAAGTAGTTAAATCATGAATGATAAATGATGAAAATTGAACTTATATTTGATTGGTTATCTATCCGAAATACAATTTTTGACGTACAATAACGACATCCGTATGAAGAATAAAGTGCATCGAAGTACTAAAACAAGAATATCACACTTCATATGTCTATAATAGGCTCTTATAAATTTAAAATGGAAATCGTACATTATGTTTAATATTGAAAGAATTAACTAGTGAACTTATTCTCCTCAATCGCTATATTCAGTATCGAATTCTTTATTTAAATAAATCTTTATGTTTGTCTGTTATTGTAGTGTTGATTCATACATTAAATCTATGATTTGGCTTTTAATCTTATGTTAAGCTATTTTACTCTCTTTGAGTGTGTGTCGCAATTCTTAGACAACCACACTTACTTTTTAATTAAAGCTGACAAGTATTTTTTTTTATTTCTTTGCCTTCTGTATCTTTTGGTCTCACAGCTCTCTAGACTATGTTAATTATTTATCTTTTTCCTAAGTAACCCTCATGTTTTCTGTATCGTTTTTCGAATTTTCTCATATTTTGATTGTTCATTTTGATTTGCTGTTGAGACGTATGCATTTGCGCAACCGTTTCTCCGCGACCCCTCTCTCATCCTTTCGAATATTAGTGGTACACTTTGCAGAGACCTATATAACTCTGTAAATATATATTCATAAATAAGGCCATACTGAAGGTAATACTGAGGTCTTAGCGATTACAAGAAAACAAAAGAATTTTCGATAGTGCTGGGAACCGCATAAATTTTCGAACGAAGTATACAAAATGTATTACTATTCAAGGATACTATGAGTCGTTTCGTATAAAATACACCAAACCATAAAGCAAATTACGAAGTGGCGAATAGTTCGACACAAATAACACAATACCTTCGGATGGTCTACGAGACTAGCAGTGGTTTTGTATAAAATGTACGAAACTTTGAAGTCGACTAGAAAGTCTCGAATAGTTCCGCACAAATAATACAAAACCTTCGAATAGCCAACGAAACGATCTACCGTTTCGTATAAAATATACCAAACCTTAAAGCAGATTGGAAAGCATCGAAAAGTTCGGCACAAATGATACAAAGCCTTTGGAACTTCTACGAAACTGTCAATCGTTTCGTATAAAATAATCCAAACCTCTCGACCATCTACGAAACCATCGACTGTTGTGTATAAAATATTCTAAACCTTTCTACAGTTTACGGATCCATCAGTTGTTTCATATAAAATATACGAAACTCTGAAGCCGACTAGAAAGTGTCGAAAACTTGCGCACAAATAATACGAAACCTTTGCAACTTCTACGAAACCGTGAATCGTTTCGTATAAAATGTTTCAAACCTTTCGGCAGTGTATGAAAGCATCAACCGCTTTGTAAAAAATATTCCAAACCTTTTTACAGCTGACGAAACCATCAACGGTTTCGTCGGCATATTTCGAAACCTTATACCATGTTACGAAACTATCAGAGGATTCATACATGATCTACGAAACCATAAAGAACTTTACGGAACCTACAAAGAGTTCTGCGGCTGAATTGCGAAACTCTGTGAAATCTGCTGAACTTAAAATAGTTCGGAAAGCAAACCACGAAACGTTTTGCGCTCCACGAAACTTAAAATCATTCGGTGTAGAAATGCGGAACTTCTAAGGTTCGGTAGAAAACCGATTTTTTTTAGAGTGTAGTATGCACGATATTTTTTACGAATAAAGTTTATTTTTATAAAAAAGAAAACGTTTTTATCAGTTTGATTAAGATGAATAAATGGTAAAGATCTATTAAAAATCTCAATAATTAAATAAAAAGTTAATGTTTTTTGATTTAAATTATTTTTTACATTTTCTTGAACTATTGTAGTATTAAAGATCTCATGTGTTGATGATCTTTGTTTGTAATTCTTATTAAGCATTTTCTGAAGAAGATCTTTTAATTCATCATTGACTAATACTTAAAAAAAGAAAAGAAAAAATATTTATGCTTTTATTTTAGTTGCTTCATATTTTGCATTAATTGTGATTCTGATTCTAATTCATATTATTCGTTACAAATATCCTCAAAAATGTTTGTGTTAAAATTATCAATTAATTGAAAACCAACTATAATCAAATTGAAAATATCATTGGCTTTAAAAAAAATGTTTTCCTCATCTTCTAATGAAAGATAATATGTAGAGTTGAAAATAGATTTATAAATAAACGAAATGTAGGTTTAACATTAAAAATAAGTTTAAATAATTTACATTATTTAAATGATAAACCATATTAAAATTATTAAGCTTAAGATTACCATCAAACGAGTGGTGTCACATATCCAAGATTTTGGAGAAGTGCTCACTTCTCCCACAGGAGATGCGACATCTCCCGCGGGGGACGCGGCACCCACACTCGGGAGATGCGATGATTTGCTGTTGGAGATGTATCATCTCATTGAGAGATGTGCATCCCTCACATTGGATGCTGCATCTCCTGCTGAAAATGCAGCATCTCCCGGCAGAGATGTGAGCACTTCTCCAAATTGCAGGATATGTGACACTGCTGATTGAGTTACAACTAAACATGCTATTTTTAATACTTTAGGCCGATTTTTGCATGAAGGGTGTGAGTGTGGATATGGGGTGTGTTGGTGAAGAGATAACTTGCATCCAGACACCCACACACCCCCACATCCACCCGACATCCACACCCACACCCACCCCACACCCACACCTTTCTTACCTTCGCCGATGTCAGTGACATCCTTTTTCATATATCGTAGCATTTTTAGTATTGTTGTTTTCTTTCAATTTCATCCCTTCATTATTTCCTGTAATCAGTAGTCCATCAAAGCCAAAGCGTTTTCCTTTGTTTATGACAGAAAAAGTGAAGCAGATATTTCGAAAATACGTGCTATTCTTCGTGATCAAATAAACAATACATTTCCAAGTCATCATATTCATGTGTTCGTTGCGCAATTGGTTGATGTCCGCATAGCAGTAATGTAAAAGGTGCTACATGATTCACAAAAAAGTATGGATTGAGTGTGAATATTGTTTTGAGTTAAACATTCGTTTTTTTCAATTGTTCCCATTAGCAGAACACAATGAGCATCTTTATTTAGAAAATCAATTTTTTTATCTTTTTCAACATATAATTTTGTTCAATCTACAGATACGTTGCTTAATAGATCCTTTATATCATAATGGACACGCCGACTTGATGTTTGTCGGCACCTATTGCGAAACATTTCGTGCATGCAGGTTTTCTCCAATGCTCTTGGTCGCTGTGTTTTGAGAGTTGAATAACCGTATTCGATAGATTGCACTTATTTAGTTTATATCGTCGAATAGTTAGTATCGTGGTATTCTAATATAGTATCTTTTCTCTAACACTATCAACTAAGCCATGCCATTAGATGAGTTTCAACACAAATTAGCAAGAGCATTAGGCGTAATATATCTTGAATGATCATGAACCGATAAAAAGGAAACGAAATGTATCTCTACAGGATGTGGATGTGAATGAAGAAAGATCAAAACCACATTCATGCCCTTATTACTTTTACAAACTGTTCGAATCTGTTGTAACATACACAACAATATCAACAGCCCAATTAGGTAATCTGGATCGATGTTTGTCTGTGTAGAAAGTATCTTGTGAAGAAGATAAAGTATATTTGCTATATTGATACCAATTATACAACAAACCAGGATCGACATGAAGAGTCTGTTATTTTATCATAGCATGAAGAAATGTGTCTGTGGAACAAGAGAAGACACGCGCACACTCACATCCGCATTCTATCTAGAACATACAATGATATATTCTAGTAATCGATTAAATGAAAGATACGAAAGACAATGGCAACTATATATACAGTTAAGTGCTTCACTATATTTACTTCTCTAAATGATTTTCAAATTTACCGTATAAAGGAAACAACATCTTTGATGCTATTACAAGACTAGATCGTATTGGCAAGAAAAACAACAATATTTACCATCAATATACAAGATGGTTATTACACATGTCAACCAGTATTGATTTAACTAGAATTCATACGAAGTAGATAATTCGTATTATTTATAGAAATATGTCATCTATCATAAGAATCATCAGCTTTATTTTGCTTATTAGAATGAACATGAAAAGTGGTACTTAAGTCATCGATTATTAATATTTACTTACGATTATGTAATTCATGAATTAATGCTTTTTATATTTTTGGACTTTTTCATTAAATATAATGTATCAAATAAATACTATTGATACGTTATATCATTTTAAAAATGAGTATAATGAAACAGTTCTACACAATTGTGATTTGTCATCAAATGATGATAATTTATCATGTACATATTCACATAGACCAATTCAATATATCAATCATACCATGGCCACTTCATAAGTCAATGGTCTGTACATTACATTGGGAAAGAGGAAGGAGAGGTGAGGATTTTCTCTTCAGCCTTGTTCACACACACTCACAAATAGTATGAATATATTTTCTCTATATTTGATACCCAATGGGCTCTTAGCTGGTCAAAATAATATATCTGTTTGCTGGAAGCGTTCAATTAGACCATTCTATCTTCGACAACTATGTCAGAGCTAGATAATGCAAATTCTTGTAGTGACTAACATTTTATCAAATGAATAAGTGACAATTAAAGACAAAACGCTTGGCATCAATATGATTATTCACAATCCGATTGATGCTAGTTTTAGCCAATATCAGAACTCAAGAAAATCATTAATAAACACTATTGATATTTATAGCTTTTATTTTCTATAGATCTATTAGTATACTTGGACATAAATATTTATTGAAAAAACCTGAAACTTGTAGAATATAACGTAATTGTAGATAGAATATAATGACTTTGTTTAAAGATTTCTGTCGCAAATAATTATTGGCATGTGTCAAAAATGGACTAAACTTAATGTGTATTATTGATGTACTGGCTTTGACTGATCGTATCTATCGTTGGTTGGATTCGACGTCGACGATCTATCAGCAAATGATGTACTATTTTGACTATATAAGGTACCATTAATTTGAGAGCAACGCTAATTCCACCATACACTCCGATGGTGGTTGTCACGACATATAAGAGGTCAGCTTGAGTATTAAATGAATAAGTGCAAGTGAGGGGTGCACACGCCTCAAAATGACTTTCATAGTTCACACTTGTTTCCCATTGATTTACCATCAGTTGATTGAGAAGAGATTTAACAGTAGCACTGGGAGCTGAAAGTGTTCGATTAAGCGGATGCATGGTAAGATTTGATGAATAATACATGAACTGAATTCTGTTTATGCATGAAACATCGTAAAGACACGCCAGAGTCGATTGAAGAAGAGATTCAAGTGGATCACAGCCGACCCGAAAACCAAGAATTGGCCATTGGTCGATAAATGCCGGTGAAGTACATGTTGGATTCGCACCACATGAGCAGTTTCCATACGATCGTGATTCCGCCCACAACGCTGTCCAACTAACACTTGTATTCAACGAGAGAAAATGCCAATTGGACAGAGTTGAGGACACGATTCCGTTACCATGTGCCATATGTCGAACAAAATCGAGCATGCGTATAAACGTTGCTGATGTCGATCGACGCAATCGGTCAATAGCAGTAGTAACTTGAGTTTCGATAGTTTGACGAGATTGGGCTCGACTGCTGATCAGTGTATTCGATGAAAATTGTCCTAATGCACTGACGATCGTGTCATTTGCAAGAGTACAAAAAGAGATTAACAAGCGAAAATGTGGTAACACAAATAAACGAAAATCATCATATGAGTAAAAAAAAGCAACCCAACGATAATATAAAAGATTCATCCATTCAGAACTCTTGACTACAAAATCACTTGAGCAGAATTGATGAAAATGAACAGAGATAAAGATGAATGAATTGAATGCTATAGCAATTTTTTGACAAGGACATTCCAGTGTTGACGAATATTTTGAATTGGCTTGAAGCTGTTCGAATGTTGCTTGTGATGGTTCATTTACAGTGAATTGTTGAGTTTGTATGGTCAATGTATTGTTAGTAATCAGAATGATGAGAGCAATAGTGAGCAGCAACAGATAGACACGTGTGCTTATCACAGATATTCGACGAAAATAATCGTTGTGCCATGTTTCTTCACTATTGAACATGTTGAGTTCAAGTGTTTGAGTTTTTAGCCAATACCATATGACTCGTACACGATCTTTTAGTTTAAGATGAGCTAAGAAAACAAATATTGGTAGAGTTCAAAAGATGAAATTAACATGTAATTCGATGCGATACTCTGAAAGATCGACTTTTCTAATCAGATATCTTTTACATATTTCAGTGTTCAACTACGTTAGAAGAATTTTTTTCTCTAAACTAAACAATCAATGCTATTGCACTAGTCAAATATGATTGATTCAGACTGGCATTAATCATTCATCGATGGGTACATACATCAAGAATATGATTATTTTGTGCACTTTCATCAAAAGCATTTGACGACATTGATGCATTTAAAATCATGAAGTTCATTGCTTTATGTTCATTATTTTTGAAACATTTACACGAAATCCAGTTAATGGGATAATCTTTAGCTCTGCAACTTGCTTTTTAAGAAAAAACTACTCAATAACTCTGAAGCAACTGTGCATGTTGCGCTTAAGTTTTCTCTGTAGCCTAATTGAGTGAGAATACATACTTGATGATTCTAACAACATTAGTTGTTCTACAGCACAGAAGGTTTTATAAATGGGCCTAGGGAAAAAACATAATTGAATTGACTATGGCTCAATCTTAACAACCATAACTATGTAGAGGTTTATGATGAGCACAGTTGTTCTCATTCGAATATCTTTGAGGACTACTTCGCCGGCATTGATTGTTATTCCTCTGGTCAAAAAGAGTAGCTGTATCCTCAGAATTTCTTGATCAGGCTTAATATAGCTTACTTGGCATATGGTTCTTGTCGTTTCGTGGTCGCATATAGTTTCGTATCGATCCAAGAATTTTAGGCACAATGAGTCTCAAAGCTGTGGTAAGTCCGCCAATCAAGCTAACAAGCACCGTGAACACATACAGTGCATTATTATGTGCTGTGAATTTGTACGAGCACGATTTTGGCGAACATTGAAAATAGTATTTATCGTATTGAATTATTTCATTCCATTGTTCAAGTACAAGTGAGTCAACTATAACGCCAATAGGTGTTTCTGGCAAGAATCGAGTAGAATTTATGTTCAGAATCGGTACATCAATTGACGCATTAGATTTTATCTCTTGCTGGATTGCATCTAAACACGATGGATTGAAAAGACACTGAAGAGAAGATTGTAGAACGTTTTCAACAACAAAACAGCCCACGAATAAATTCGGAGTATAGAATTTCAAAATCATATCGTCGACTGGATAATTAGGTGGATACGTATAAAAACCCATTGGCATATGACATGTGTCGCTCAGTGAACATGAGCAATTATCCCAATGCCATGGTACCCAGCCAAAGTCAATACGTGTAGTACTGCTAATTGACTGATAGGTAGCTAAGTAAGCGTTGAATTGCGTTGTCGACAAGGTATTACTTGTATGAACTTGAATAAGTGCAAGGGCACGTTTGAACTCACCTAATGTACTCAATTGAAATTGGTTAAAAGTATCGTGTGTTCGAATAAACAATTCGTTACTCGAAAGCACTTGACCGGTAACAAATAACGACTGATTGAGGATACGCCAAGCATCAACAACAGTGACCTTAGCGAGCGAACACAAAGTAGTGAGTGTGGTGAAAAAGCTGTTACCAGACCAACGAAAGTCCATTATATCATAAACTACATCATCGCTAGAGAAGCTTGCCAAAGAAGCGATCCATGCATAGGAGACAAATAAACTTGAACAGATCGGATGATACTCGGGTGATAATGACATAAAAGAACCATATGGCATAGCTATTTCGCTGCATGGACAATTGAGAGTATTCGAATATTGGTCGTGCAATTGCTTGAATGTTGCTTGAGATGGATTTTCAATGGTTATTGTTTGAGTTCGTACAGTCAAGAAAGTATAAATGATTAGAAACAATATGGAAATTGTGAGAAGAAGAAGAAAAACACGACTTGATATGATTGCAGTTTTCTTTTCGAATGGATCCGTATCTGTTTTCAATGTTCTAAAAAGATTCAAATCGAGACATTGAACTCGTAACCATCGCCATCCAGTGCGAACTTGTTCGACGACAGGAACAGCTAGATAGAAGGAGATGCTAAACTATGTCAAGAATCTCGTAACTTACTTGGATTTGGCTCTCTTCGAATATTGTATCGATTACACCACCAGCCAACAAGATGCGGAACGATGAGCCGTAGTGCCACTACCAAACCCCCGTAAAGACCCAACAACGTGGTTAATACAAACAGAAACGAATTGCGTCGTAGAAACGAGTACGTACATGAGATCGGAGCACATTGAGCAAAATAATTTTCAAAAGAGCTCATTGTAACCCAATTCTCGATAAACAATTCCCGAAGAATCACTTCAATAGTTGTCTGACGTGAAAATTGCGTCACATTTTCATTGAGAGCTTCGACATTAGTCAGATTACTGGATGAGAAGAATTGAACCACAGTATTCAAACATTCTTGATCGAAAAAGCATTCGAGTGTCGATTGAAGAAGAGATTCGAGAGCATAACAACCAGCAACGAAACCAGTCACATAAGCTATGGGTGGCTCAGGCGGAACATAGATTCCGGTGCTCTCATATGCGGAAAGATTAAAGAAACCTGCCGGGGACGAACATGTAGGTGTGGTTCCGCAGAAACAATAATTTCCACTTTTATCGATCCAAGCACCACCTTGCATACTTGCAAGTACTGAAGAGTCCAACATAATATACAATGAGTTTAATTTGGATGTTTGCATGGCTGTTTGCAATTGATTACTTTGGGTAGTGCGCCGTACGAGATTGAGAGCTTGATGCACAGCATTGCTTGTTGATATTTGAACAAACTTGCTTTTTGACAGACTCTCAGCATTGAGTGTCTCTACTGAGCGAACCTTTGGCGTTACGAATGTATCGAAGAGAAAGTCAGCAAGCGTATCATTGACGAATCTCTCGACAAGTGAACATAGTGAGCTAATTAATTGAAACTGACCACTGGCCGATGAACGAAAGTCCAGTTGAAAGAAGTAACTCATATTCGGGTTGAAGAGCAAGTCTAACCAGATGTTCGACACAAAAACACTGGAACAAATTGGATGATATTGGTAAGACACCGAAATAAATGTTCCATAAGGAATTGCGATTCGGCTGCAAGGACATGAAAGTGTTGTCGGATATTGGTTGTATAAATCCATATAGACGGCATGAGTTGGATTTCGAATAGTAATCGTTACAGTTTGATAACCAATTGCAGTATGAATAGTCAGAACAGAAATGGTAAGAGTGAGTAGAACGAGATAAAAGCGAGTGGAAATAATGGCAATACGTTGTTGAAAAGGGTTGGTACGTGAGGCTTCATTTTCGAAGAGATTTAACTCTCTGATTTGTTTCATGAACGAGTTGATAACAGCGATTTTCGTCATTGCTGCGTTGTCACTCAATTGCAAATCTTGTCACGCTCAGATCAGTGTTCGACTAATAAAATAGTTAAGACACAATTGTTACTCAGTGATGATGAGCAACATATTTTTTTATATAGAGCTGGTAATTTTCGAGGCAAAATCATTTTCATATCTGATTCACGGAAAATAGGCACCCAGTACATGGGCATATTGTATGGTCTTATCTATACCATCATCACTGTCTGATTACACCTCTAGGTAGAACTGGTAATGATATGCTCACGAACGTCAACAAAAACTTAAGAAATCATGTTATCTACAATTATTTTGGTGTGTGAATACTGCTTAAAGTATTTATGCCAGAAAGAACGTTTCTTCAACATATCGATTTTTTTTTCGAGATATCCATGAGTCAGCACGAAGTTGACATATGAGAACTTGGAGAAAACTTGTTTTTTTGAAGATTTTTTTTTTAACCATTTATAAATCAAATCATATTCAGACACCGAAATAGCTACGGATAACAGGAGTTCGTAAGTTATTGTTGATGTTAATATATAACTCAATGACCTATACCTAGAAGTATAATCAGAATGCAGTTTCTCTTCGTACAATCTACTCGTAGACATTTGTGTATTTTACTAATATCCTTATCATTTATGAATTTCAACAAAAGAAGGCCTCTATCTGAAGAAAGAAAAAGTTTTCGATTTTTGTTGCGGTTTGCCATATTCTTCTTGGCGTTTTAAAAATTCAATTATGTAAGAAGCAAACTGTTTAGGATGTCCGATTTTCGCCATTATAGTTTATATCGATTACTGATTTACCTCCGAAGACGCTAAATTCACATAATTTCCACTGATCTGCAACAGTTACCTTGATAAAAAAATAATTTTATGGAGAGATATAACGGATCAAATTTGAAAACCGGTGGCAAGCAGCCATCTTTTGTCTATTTTTAAAGAATAATAACACACTTCGTACTTGTTTTTAAACCGCTGAAAATTCATTTCAGGTGGTCAGAATCCTTGATCAGAGACAGAGAAATGTATCAGCGGCGTTCAATCGTTAAAGAAAAACTCGCTATGCTCTACCAATATGTTTTTGAATTCTATGAATTACCATAGTTTATAACGCTCTAAAATAGTATAGGAACTTCTAGATATGAAAGCGACATGATATGACCTCCTGAAGTAATATTAACTATTTATGAAAGTTCGAAAAACAATTCAGACTTGAAAATTTTCACAGCTGATCATCTTCCTTAGAAACTTGCTAAAGCTATTTTCCATATTTCTCTTATTTCGTTGTATTTTTCATAGTTACTGTCAAGGATCCAAATAACTCAACCACATGAGAACTTCTCATAGAATCGTAACTTTTCAAAGTTACTTTATTCAAATATGCAATCGATCGACCATTTTGGGAGACGTACCAACTTCTTGTCCAATTATCAATCGGTCACACTGTAAATTCGAAACCGTTAACAGTGTTGGTAGTTTGATTGAACAGAATAGACTTGTCGTTTTCATTGAACACTACGACTAACTTCATCGATTTTCATCATAACACAGAAACATCACTCTGGCGCTGCTATTTTTTTCAAATTAGGATGTCAGTTTTTTTTTTTGGAGCACCATTTCTTGTTCTCTTCTTGTCTTGAATAATTAATTAGTTCATCTTTCTTTGATTAAAACAATATCGAAATTGTTGATGAAAAAGAAAGGCAACTACAAAATAACCGCTCTTTGTAGAGCGCAAAAGCAATGATTTCAATTTCGTGATTTACTCATTTATTGCAAGGCATTTTGTTTTGCAAAGATGAAATTGATTTAGACATCTGCTTGTTCTTTCTTCAATGTGGCGTACTTGTCTTTTGTATTTTAATTTTTTGCTCAAAAGATCTTTCCTTCCGCTGTCATCGAGCTATCATTATGGAATTCATTTACTTTATAGTAAGGAAGTACATGAAAAATGGGACAGTCTGATTACTTCCGTTAACAGCATTTGGCGTGAAAAAAGAACAACATTCTTATTATTTTCTTCATATTTTCAACAAAGTTTTAATGATATTGTGTCCCAAACTTCGATGTAGTGTTTTGAAGATTCTTTAGTGAATTTAGTATACGTCTTGAAACATATCTTGGTTACATTTGAGTACTGATAGTTGAAACGATTATCTCAAATAATTTATTATGTTTAGTTTTTATTTTAGGAAAGTATGCCTGTAGATGAAAGTTTATGGTGCGTCATGATGAATGACAATCTTTGTATTTCGTTGTTTTCTCAATTAGTTTGTGTCATAGAAATTGATACATAGTCTCAAAAGATTTCGTGCTCAGCTCTCAACAAAATCGTATAAGACCGTTTCATCTAAAACCCTAATGTGAAAAAATAACTTAGCAATATTGCGGTGCACTAATATGTGCAATTCTTCAGCAAAATATCAGTTCAAAAAAATACTACTCAATAAATCGATGAAATGAGGAAGATTGGCTGCTTAAGATTCATTTTCGAGAAATCGATCTTTACGTAATAGTACAATAGTTGATTGAAATGAACTTCACTGGCAATAGTTAGAAAAACTTCTTACTCTACTCAAGTACTGTTTCCAACGAACCTTTATATTTGTGTAAAGGTAGAGAAAAATATCAAAATTTTCAGATGAAAGATTTAGAAAGTTGCTCATATTGATGAAGCACACTAGTAAAGACTCAAGCTTATCTGTGCATCAACAATACTGTAGAGAGTTCAGCGCAGAATCTTTGAAGACTGAACACGAATTTCTACAACAAAAGCTAGTTGAAAAAGTCACGAAATACAAATAGTCTCATTTAATATAGAGTGCCAGTTATTCTAAGATGGAGATTAGAACTTCTAAGGAATGGTCCCAACATAAAGAAGAAAATTGATAGCTTTCACAAAACTATTTTACAAGCGCTTTCGACAGAAAAAGTTTTCCTGATCAGGATATTAGTAGAACAAATATCCGCTGTTTGAGCTCATATGGAGCTTGCCAGAACAACTTATCAAGACTAGCAAAAGTCTAAGAGAATTTGTCTCCATAAGTCTATGAATCTGAGTTATGATTGTTGTACTGAATTTTTGATCCAACTTTAAGTATATACCGAAAAACCAAAAAGCTGAAATTCGACGTGAAATTTCGACCACGAATATGTCTAACGATCCATAGAATATTTTTTGTCACGACATTTAATTTTCAAGTAAACTTGATTTTTTTTTCATTACTGTGGAAAACGATTATTTTTTTTTCAAATTCGATCTCTCAATGAAAGAAACAGGCGTTTCGGCTGAAACATAACATATTCTACAGGTGACTCGACCTATATACGGTCAAAATTTTGCGCCGAATTTCATCTTTGTTTGTTTTTCAGTATACACTGAAAGCTGAATCGAAAACCGAGTAAAACGATCATAACTCGGTTCCCAACATCCACGGAGACTAAATCTTTTAAACTTGTTTCTAGTCTTATTGAGATCTCTTTGTGAGCCCAATAGAAACTCATACAGTGGATATCTATTCAGATGGTTTTTTCATGAGTTAATATCCTGACTACGAGCCTATAACCAAACAGCGTCGACATTGAAAATATTCCTTGTTTATTTCAGTATGGTCTCAATAGTGTCATATAGAAATACGCTGGTCTGAACTGAAAACCTCTCATCACTCAGCATTTGAATAAAATAGTATAAATCCAACTGAAAGAATCATCGATTGAGACGATTCTCTGACCAATATGCTTTGATAAAATTGCAAAATTACATAGCAGAACGTTTTGTTTTTGTGGCTTTTTCTGGCGAATGTTTTTTTGATAACATTACGACAAAATCTTTTGAAAAGTTAAAACTGAAGCAATACTTACTATTCACTTGCTAAAAGAAAATAGTATAATGTTCATTCTAGTATTGAAAGTCTGAGAGCTGTGAAAGAAACATGCTAGCAAAGTCTACAACATCACCATTGGATCAAGTCAAAATGAATTGTTTCAACTAAAAGTTCTTTTGTTACATGTGAAACAAATTATGAAAAATTATTGTTTTGGACAAAGCACTTCTGCTAGTCAGAGACAAGATCTATTCTTTATTTGTACTATCAAACAAATGTGACTGTAATAGCTGAAATCTTAACGAGATCATCTCGAGTACGAAACAAATGTAAGAATAGGCTCGATAATACATGTATCAACAAGATTGCGATCATCATCAATCAGGGCGACATTATTTTGATCGAATTATAATACATTCAACTGCCGTATAAATGCTTTGCATCCGACAGCGATCATGTTCTTTATTTGATCTTTAATCTCTAAGGGAATTTTATCAACAATGTCAGTCGTCGATCTTGCTCGTCTGAGATTGTTGATCTTTGTATAAGACTGAATGATGTACGGCATTCATTTGTAACCATAGCCTTGAAAAGTCCATTTACTTTTGTCTACTATATAAATCCAACTAACGCTTCATAGACAATGCAATAGCTTTGCCACGGTGGGAAACAGAAAGAGACATAATGAAATAAAAGATGACATTTTGTCCTTGATGATAACTTTTAGGGCATTTGCATTGTTATCAGATCATGTTTTCACTTTACCTGAATGAGTGATATCAAATGATGTCAATCATTGTTGAAAGAAGTTTGCCAATGAAATTCATATCTAAAACAACAACAGCACTGATATAGTCAATTATTAATAGAATGAAATTCTACCATCATGAGATTGGGTTGCCACGAATGAGCGCATCTACTTCAAGAGATTCTGACTAAAATGCATACGAACGATGACATCGATTTATAACTCTAATTTCACCTCTTAAGTGACGCTTTTCATTTCTGACGAATCATGACGAATATCTCTGTCACCATGAATATTAAAAAGATTGATAGAGAAACTATACAAAACCGATGGAATTAATTTATTCATTCGTAAGAAAGAGACTTATCAATTTTGGATGTTGAAGAATTTTTATGACAAAAAATCATGAATCATTTTTATGTGCATTTATTTGTCATCTGTTGAATGGAGAATATTTTCCATCAATACACTTCATGCTTGTTGATCCATCGTCGGCGTATCGATATCATAAAAGACGAATGACAGAAAGAAATAATGGCTCATATTTCAATGTCTTATATTTGACATCAACGTGAAGAGATATATATTCAAGTAGGCAATAAAATCATCTATCATGGTTTCTTTTTCCAAACTCATCTGTATGCTGACACTCACATACATCGCTTGACTTCTTTCAAAAATTAAGTAACATTGTTTTTTTCTTTTCTTTCTTACAATATAGGATCAACCAATATCCTCAGCAATAAGTCAAATGGATTTCAAAGAAATAGATAAAAATAATTCCGCCAATGATATGAACAGACGAGTACAACGGCCACTATCAAAGAACCGTTTTTTTCATACTAGAGGACATCTTGCGTCGATTGATGATATTCCAATGGCTTGTGCAGTGCCCTCATATCCTCATCTAATTTATCATCGAAAAAAAAGCTCATCAGTTGCCCTTACTAATTCGGTGTTGCATTCGATCGAAGATAATATCAATAGACATATTGTTCGCGTCCGTCTCATCTTCATTCGTATCGGTAAAACAAAATAAGGAAATCGTTTCTTCTCGCCTAATATTTATTGACTGTTCATAGGTGAAATCGATACACTCAATGAGAAATATCAAGCAGATGTCTATTTTGAAGCGCGATGGATAGATTGTATTGATATAGATACACTTGATCTAACTGCTCAGCAACGTACACAATTAATAAATGAGTCGGCAACTATTCGTTTAAATGAGTTTTCTCCGATTATCCACTGGACACCAGAATTATCGATTGAAAATGCTATTGCACATATTGGTAAGAGTGATTCTTACGGATGATATATTCATGCAACCTTTCATTCGAAATAGGTGAACCAGAAAAATGGTTTACAATAACGAAACTTGCAACAAAAGCAGATGAAATAATTCCGACACCTCTGGTCAAGTTAGAGATTTGTGAACATCGTCGAGTGCGAGGCGCATTCTGGGAGAAACTCGAATTGAATCACGTAGGTTAGAACGAAGGCCCATACGATGATCAACAATGCTTCTTTTTTAAAGTTTCCAGTTGATGTACAAGATCTTACAGTTTCAATCACTAGTGATCACCATTTGGACACTGTTATGCTTGTTCAAGACGAAGATCGCTTTTCGACTATCAATCGTGAAGCATTTTTCGATCAACAAGAATGGTCACTGTATGAACATGTGGCCACAGAAATGCGTGACACCAACGAAGAATATTCATTCGAACATGAAACAGGTATTGAACCCAAAACACATCCAGTTCTTGCCTTTACTTGTCGCGCAGGTTTGTCTCTCTTTTTCTATTGACAAAATCACAAAATTCTCACTATATTCTAGCTCGTCAACCTGGTTACTACTATTGGAATGGATTTTGCCTCATTTTTCTTATTACTATTTGCAGTTTTTGTATTTTTGCCATTCCTCCAAAGTCAGATATTGTCTCTTTTGTATTTTCTAAATTCTATTAAATACAATTGCTTCAGTCTGCCTCAAAATCGTCTTCAGATCACTTCGACACTGCTCCTTACTTCGATTACTTTTCGTTGGGTGGTCAATCGATCTCTAGTCAGTAACATCAACATAAAAACAAGCGAAAGCAAAACAATCGGTTACTTTTTTTTCTTTCTAGCCAACAGTTTCTTATTTGACAACACTAGACAAATATGCAATCATATCAATTTTTGTACTCGTTCTTCTGTGCGTTTGGCACGCAATCATTGCCGCAGTGACTTATCTGGAATTGTCATCATTGGCCAATTCTCTCACTCCGGATAATATTTATGTTCAAATCGATCGATATGTCTTCTTTGTTCTCATTGCCGGATATATTTTCTTCCATGTCGGTTTGATCATCTGGCTCATACGTGTGCCATATAAGCGACGTCGTGACATGCGAACACTCGATCGTTTATATACAAAACATTGGCAAAAGAAATTAAATGAACTCGGACAATCATTTCAAGTTTCTCTCTATCGAAATCAACATTCGAACAATTATCGACCATCATCAGCTATGAGCGCTCGATCTTTATCGAATAAATCTCTTCCTGGTCAATTTGTGAAACAAAATGACAATGTTTTTATCATGTCAAATACTTCAACATTCGTGCCGATCAAGGAAAAATCGCAAGAGACTGCAGTATCCGAGAAGCCCACTGAATTACATAATTAAAATCAAATGAATTTATGAACGAATTTTAAAAAAATGTTTTAGAACTCGTTTGTCACTAGCCTTGTATTTAGTTGAACAATGAAACTAAGCGATTAAATGGATAATATTGTTGTTGAAATAAAGAAAAAATATTGAATGATCATCTTTTATTTCTACTCATTCATCTAGGAAGAAAAAAAGCTAGAACGAGTGTTGAAAATAATGAGAGCATCGAATCGACTAGGAAACTACAGAAAAAAAGTGAAATCAAATGTCAGATGTTCAAGTGATGTTTCCTACGAAAAGTTGATTTGCTATTATGAAGGTTCCGATCGATTGATTCACTTGGTGTGACCTGTTCGCTGATATTCTGTCCAGTTAATTTCGGATGAATACCGACTTTGCCAGCCAAATCAGCCGCCAAATGATCGACTTTGATTTTCTTTTCTACGAGCTCATGATTTGCAATTTGTGTTATCGATTGATTTCAATTAACCCTCTCCCCCCCCCCCAAAAAAAATTGAACGCCACCCTATAATAGAAAGGCACCCGGAATAGAAGGCCACCCCGGAACGTTTGATTCTCTGGACATAATATAACACCATACCAATTTCAAGGAAAAATGCGAAAAAAATTCCGGCAAGACAAAATATAGCGCCACCAAAAAAAGACCGATTCGCTGGGACATAATAGAAGGCCATGCCTTTTTATTCTGTGGGGGGAGGGGGGGGGGGGGGGTTAGTCATTCATGTTCTTCACGGCTTTCAATGTATTATGACTAACATGTCCGTAGATAAGATCAAAAAAAGACACAATTTTACTTAACGTAAAACACTTTGAAAAATTCGCGGCTATTTTCACTCTCATAGCTATCTAAATATTAATAGCTATACAACTTATTAAAGCTATTTAATTCTTCCAAAGCTCTTTGTCTCTTCCATATCTATGTAATCCCTTCATAGCTATTCAAAGCTTACAAAGCTATTCAAATAGCTGCGTGTTCGCTATTTATTTAGAGGCAAACTTTCGAAAAATATTTTCCAAATAGATGTTTAATACGGAACACTTTCCGATCGTTCGCTGCACTAATACTTTTATAATGGTTACTTTGTTGCGTGTTAGGAAAATGTATTCTGAAAATGAAGCATTAAAAAGGATATTCTACGAAATTATTCTAAAAAAGTTTGTAATGCCTTAGAACATTTACTACTTACATATCGTTATAAATAGTCATCTACTTATTGTCAACTAATTTTGATAATGAAGCCAAATTTAAAAAAAGAAAGTTTTTATTTTATTTTCTCTGAGATTAATGTCGAAACACAAACAGAAAAGATCAAATTCATAGTTCTTACTCGAATATGGAGTACGTAAGTGTTTCAGAGTTGTCACCGGTAACGGTAGAGAGCTGATTCTATAAAAGATTTCTTGCCGGTTGGTATGAACAATATTTTCTTTACCGATGATTCAGAACTTCTTTGAGATTGTTATGTTTTTTTTTCAAAAGACTGAGCAAACACTTTTTACTCATACTGAAGATTATTATTTTTGAAAATGAGCATGGAACATACCAGTTTATTAACTCAAAACTGATCATGATACATTCGATATGTTTCGCCGTCTCACTTTGGTATCACGTTATGATACGAAGATAAAATTGAATAATAATTTAGCCTGGTCTTTACTATCAACTTATATCTATTTCCTATTGTACGTAGTATATACTTCTTATAAATATAAGAGATAACAAAACGAAAAGAACGTGGGAAACAGATAAAGTACACAGTCAATGCCAAGTGTCGGTATCTGGACGAATAGTGAATAAATGTACGTAGCTAATATAGATTTTGTACTTATAAAAAGTTTCTGCTGACTGATATATTGTCAAGACTGAAATAAGATAAGCAAAGTGAATAGCAAACGACAGTATAATAGTGAATCAGGGCTCTTATGGCATTATTGTAGTAGTTAGAAGGAATATATGACTTATCGAGAGATTGATTTGAATGGTATAGAGTAAGAAAAAAAAAGAATGACCCATGCTGGTAAGGAAAAAACCCTATCGCTCCCATTTTTGGGATGTTTACTGATTTTATGTCATAATTCATTTTGATTTGCAGCGGTATAATATAGATCAATCTAAGCATTCAACAAATCCAACTATAGTTGCTCGACTTGAAGGATATCGAAAGAACAAACAAAGATCTTTTTCAACGAAAACAATTTATTACAACAGCTATGCAAAACAAAAAGATAATGATAATTTTCTTGAGCTCGCAGTTAATCATGTAAATTATGACGTTGAATTTGTTGATATTGCGAATAAAGTACCACCAATGATTTCACAAAACACTTGGAGCGTTGTCCCTTTGGAGGACGTGACCCGCTTATAACTTCCTCCACACCAATTTCGCCATGATTAAGCCTACACAGTTTCTTAAGTATGAATAAGAGTTTCAAATCGTACGAAATAAAACTTGTCATGAGTATTTATCAAACAAAAAAGCAACTTTGAAATTCAATAATAAACTTATGAAGATATGAAAAAATTTTCGTACTTAGTGATCTACCAGACACCCTACGTTTTCTACTATGAACGAAATATTTAGTAACATTTGTTGATTTGGACAGGAAAGAAAATACGTTAAACGAAGGCAATTTTTCACTGTTTTCATTGAGTTCTCCTATATTCATCTTTATGATCATTACGATTATGATCATGAACGAACTAATAAGAATTGAATTATAAATGAATAAGATGCATCGGATTAGTACAAGTAATACGAACGATGAAACGTACATGTTCATTAGTAGGTGGTAGAAATCGATCACGATATGATCGTTTGCATTCTAGTTGCATTGGTTTGTAATGTAAAAGCAACTACACGTGTCGAATGAAATTGTTTCAAGCATAACATGATTTTTACGCGACGTCGAAAAGTTGGTGATACAAGTAGATAAACATAAAAAGAAGCGCATGAATGTGCATACAACAAAAGTTGTGTAGTACAAAGTAGGAATTTATCCGCGACTGTTACTCCTTGACTACCCTTGCCTGTTGTTAAAAAATATGCTTGCAAAAGTGATGCTGGTAATACTGAAACAACTACCATACTTGTTTGAATCAATATCATTCGAGCCACTTGTTGATTGAGTTGATGTGTAACTAAACGTGAACGTTGATGTTGGCTAGATGCTTTCAAATTGTGCCAGGTAAGAAAACCAAAAACACTCAAAAGTATAATCGGCATGGGAACACCAACGATTGCGTACATAAGAGATGCTATGCGTTTAAAGATACTATTAACATACTGACATAGTTGATAGTCAGGTGTAACATTTCGATATATAGCGAAAGGAACACTGATGCCAGAAGATACTAAAATAGCCAAAAAAACTAATAGTCGAGCTGTATATAATGTCATCCATTCTCGTCGAGCAGCTGATCGACATGTTTGCAAATAGCGATCGATTGCTGCCAAATACATACAAGTAAGAGCTATTACACCACCAGCAAAATACAAAAATGATGTTGATTTACACATGCTTACAGATGTGCCATAAAAATCGTAGCCTGACATATAAGTAAGTGAATCTGGAAAGGCAGATGAGAGTAGAACTAACTGTTCACCTAACGCTGATCCTGCCAGAAATGTGGAGCTTGGGAGAGAACGATAGTTTTTGAGACCTACAAATGTTGAGATTGTTAATAGATTACCAATTGATCCAACAGAACCGAGGAATAATCCAAGGTAGATATAGAGATATTTAGAAACAACGATAATTAGTTCACTAGACATGTCCATTGCTAATGTTGGAGAAAGAAAAACTAATATATTTGTCTTCTCAATAAGTTGTAATCAAATGTACGTCAAGTCAACGACTAAGTATTGCTCTAGCATGTAGATAATTTTGTGTTTAATGCAAACTGACAGATTAAAAAACTGAGCAGAAAAAAACAACTAAACCATCTAAATTTATTGGACACTATCTGTTTACGTCATCGAAAAAAAAGAACTGACAGTTCACATGCATCTACAAGACAAGATTTTACTTATACTTTCTGACGGCTTGCACAGAACACCATGTTTGTTAAATATCGACTTCATTGTTATTACTGCCGTTTTCTTTATTTTATGCTTTAGTTTCTCGAGAGAATCTGTCTTGTTCTGTTAATTACAAATAATGTGACATATAAACAAAAAAATGTGCTTGTTTACTTCTTTTTTTTTACAGGCTGTTCTATAGGAAATCTATCATAAAAACAGCAACACTTTCCAAGTGAGCTCAAGCATGTTCATCATATAAAAGTTTAGGCTATAGAGAACAATGGAGGAACCCGCAAGCAAATATCGACATCGACTGCTGAACGTGAAAAGTCAACATTTTCATTAATCTCAATCGTTTCATTATGGAGTTATTAACAAAGGTAATGATTAAAATTAGTGAGAAGAGTGGATTTTTCACATTCGGGAACGGATGGCAATCTAGTGAGAATCACAGTCACATTCGTAACGAGAACCTGTAGGTATAGCGATATTGCTATTCTGAGCAATGGTATTTATTCGGTTACTTCATATCTCGCGATGGTGACACAAAGCAGTTTGTCTATGTGTATTTCAACTTTTCAAAAAGTAATACGCAAGATGAACATTCTTTATTAAATACTTGCAACATATTCTACATAAAAAAATGGAGTTATAACATTGATGAAGTCATCAAATGATGCTTGGTTCTTTTATTTGAGGAACTATAGAAATAAAATTTTCCATATACGGCTCAATTTCATATGATATTACCAATTATTAAACTGATCAATTCGAGGAAAGGGCTCTTTCGACAGTAGACAATAGACCAACGTTGAACGAAATCGAATATCTTTATGTTCTGAGAGAATGTGTTTTCATTTGCAAAAATAACTATTTGAGAAGACTTGTATAATAATAGATCATTATCATTTATATCTTAATGACTCATTCTATTATGCTGTTAAAAAAATTGTTGACCATCTTGACACACTATACATGGATCCATTCCTGCCGCTTAATTGATGGTTTCGTTTTGCTGTGGGATAAATATAGCCCTAATGGTCTCGAATAGTAAAGACCCACGATCTTCCTAATCACGAATTAAGTCTGTTAACCACCCTGGTTGCTGTTGAAAAGAAAGTTTTCAGCGTAATTCCTGTAGCACTAAAGTGTTAAACACGATAGATCCATTCCTCTCGTTAAGGATATTCTTAGCCTCATTAACTATTGTGATAATCGGAATTTTTGTCGATTCTGTCTCTCTGCTACAGACCATGAGAAGATGTCGAACTTTCCAGTGATATACTTCGACACTCATTACTAATCGTCTTTCACAAAAAAAAACTACAATTTATCCAAACATTCTTCGAAATAAACAGCTTTTTCTTCTATATTTTGTAGGTTTTCTGTTCTTTGATAATTTCTTCATAAAATAAGTGATCAAATTTGTTTTGAACTGAATGTGTGGATGTGAGAGTGCGAAATAAATGAAGATATATACTAATACACATACCTGCTGTAGTCTATTGTAAATAGAATGAATAAATGAATAAAAAATATTTCATTCAATTGTTATTGTCAAAATTCTTGTTTCCTACTGTAAGATCTCAATTCTCATTGATATAGTCAATAATAATTTCAATGTAGCTTATTCACAATGAGCCCAGTCAAAATAATCAACATATTTTAATGGGATTGATTTTTCAATTTTTTCAAGTCCATTCCACCATTATTGAAGACACAGATGTAGAATAAAGAGATTTGTTAATGGTTGAATGGAGTTCTTCTTGTGTCAAGAATTCATTTCTTTTTTTCTTATGTTTCATTTGCTTTTTCATTTATCGTTTGGCAAAGATAAACAAATCAAAAGATTTTATCTAATAATGTCGAAAAAATGAGAAGAGTCACAAGAGAACAAACACCTTTCTTTTTTTTCATAATCTATGTTAGAGAACTGCTCACTATCGGGTGACTTCCCAACGGAAACTCGTCACATATTATTGTTTTTCACCAGTCAATATTTCGATGAAATATTTGCGATGCAAACTATTCATTGAACAACAAAGGAAACTTAAAATACTTATTTGAAATGATTTTTCCAAATAAAACATGTTAATGATGTTTGCGTAAAAGAGATATTGTGATAGATACAATCCAATCATGCATTGCTCATTTTTTTCTAAAGTATAGGTGAATGTGAGCTAAAAGAAAATCCACATCAATTCTATCCGTTTTATATGATCATGATAGACGAATCAGTTAACAAAATCGTGTCCAGTGTGGGTATCCATCAAAAGATACTAATGCCCACACCCTGCGTGTCGAAGTAAATAAAACGATTCAACTAATAGCCTTGATAGTCACTCCAAATTTACGAGTATTGTTCTCCTATTAATTAGACTCATTCGAATTATAGAATGTTCCTTGATAGTACACTGATAGCATAAACGGAAACATATCCGTTCACTCTAAATTAAGCTGCCTATTCAGGTTTGCATTTGACAATGATGACAAACGTATATAATATCTAGAATCAATCAAATATTTCACGGGACTAGCTGACTCTACGTAGCTGAAATTTTATAACATGAATGATATGAGAGATTGATGTGCTGTGATTGTATAATAATGAATGACATTTCTATGAAAATGTTTGATACTATTCCCGACTAAATTATTGACAAAAACAGATAACCTTACGATCAGCATGCTTAATCATCCTATTATGTGCTGTTAATGCAAATATACAGCGCCTTATTTTGAATACCTCATGATTGTCTGTATATCGGTAATTTGTAACGAGATATTCAACTCGAGGAAAATATTGAACTGAGGCATGGTTATCAATCTACCAATGTTACGCACGGAGGATTTCACATTCAAAAAGAAGGTCAGTCTTTTACGTAGAGTTTCTCCATTTAGGTTTTTTTTACTTGAACAATTATGCTAGAAAAGAAAAACTGACAAAATGCGATGTTCTCACAAATGTATTCCATATGTCTTCGAAAGTAATAGAGAAGGATGCCTCGCAATTATGCTATATACAAACGCAATGTCTCTCCGCAGAAAGTATGGTTACAGAAACAATGTACTTTTATTAGGCATTGATTATTTTCAATGATTAACTCATATGATGATAAACCACAATGATGTTTGACAGTATTTGATTATCACAATGTTGAAGACTGAAAACTATATCAATAAAATATTTGCTTTTTTGACAGATGTTGGCAGCACGTTTACCGATCTTTGAAACTGATGTAATACATGCTCTGTCATCCTATTCATCACATTTTACTTTGCTTAGTTGTCTATCTATAACAGCTCATAAATAATTTATTCTAGCGATAATAGATTCCACGTGAATGAGTAATTTTTAAAAATATGCTAATGAGATAATCAAGACGAATAACATTTTGTTTGAATACCTGACACCATGGTTCAAGACGAGATAACAAATATTGTGCAGATAAAGTGACTCTCTCATTTTTTTTTTATGGATGCCGACAAATGAAGAAATAAGGAGAATGTGGTAAATTTGTTTGCATCTCGTCGCTCGATCCGATAACAGATGATTTATAGAATGAGAAAAGCTATTAAATCGTCATTTGTCTGTAATAGCACTTTTTATTAGATCTTCACCAAAAAATAGTTCATTACTGTGTCTCCTGTTTGAGTCGAGAGATCATGATTGATCACTCGAAGGCGAATCATCACTTAGCAACTTCTCTATTTCATTGCTTACTTCTCATTCATACTTTGTTAGTATAATTCGAGAAAAAAAGATATAGCTAGATTCCTATGTAATCATGTTGATACTTCCTTTTTCTATTTGCATTACGTAGATTGTCGTCATGTTCATATTAGTGTTGTCCTATTCTATGGTGTATGCAGTTGATATTGGATTTGACTATATGGTTGCCGTCGTGCCGTGTCCTTCAAATGCTAGTCGAAAAGAAAAGAAAACATGGAAATGACTCTTCGAAAACGTTTAACAAATATCTTCGGAATCTGGGTTTACTGCATCAGTGGAGTCGTCAGTGTTACATATCTTATGATTATCATCTGTTACTTAGCATTTCGTCAAGAGTGCTTGGCCATAATCGAAAGAAGAAAGGCAACAGCAATTCGGTATGTTCAATTTGAGGAGTGGCAGCAACAGGTCAACTCTTTTTCCGACTTCACTTATCGACCTGCCAGTACTATTCTAGAAGGTCTGGATATCGCCCAACATCAACCTCAGCCGATATGAAAAACAGATTTGAAACATTGACTGAATATTATGAATCTATATCAGTTTCTTTTTTGACGAATTCATAAAGAAAATTCTGTGATACACAAAGAAGCCGATCGGAATCAATGCCAAGCTGATTTTGTTTTCTTGTTGCACGCTTTATTTCATCTACTCGTTTCTTTGTTATTCTGCCTATTTTCATCTCTAACAACCTCGCATTATAATCGAAAGAGACAAGAAACAGGTTCCTCAGTCAGACATTTATTTGATAAATTTCAACGAGAGTGTCTTTGGTAAAATTTATCGACCACAGTGAAGACACCAACATTTTATTTTATTTTTCAAACATTTGACTTTGATTGATCTCTGCATGGCAAGATCTTCGAACGCATGAATGAAGAAAAATAACTTGTTCAGTGTCTATTCGGACAAGAAACAAAATATTTGAGTATAGGTGAGGATAGTTACTCATTACACCCGTCTTACTCTTTAAATATTTCTCATACATCTGAGTGATCTTTTCATTGCACGAAACTATTTAATTAAATTACACTGTTGTTGTTTGAAGTCCAATATCACTGTTGAAATATTGAGTATGCTGTCATATAAATGACTGATTTGTCAACGATTAATACAAAACCAAACATGTGCTAACCTTGACAAATAAAGTTTGTTTTACAAACCCAGTGTTTAGAAAACATAGTTTTGGTGTGTGGTGCCCATACGTGGCAGAAAGGAAGAAAAGTCACATAGAGACAATGACATCCTACTGGTGCATGACATAAGAAAATTGCTTCTGAATTTGTAAATTAATTGTAGACTTATAAACAACGATTTACAAATCGATTTTATAAATCAGTCTATTTAAGACTCTCCGGTGCTATGCACGGACGTACACTCGTTTATCATATTATTCGCGGAGTATGTCTTTAGTTAAGACAAGGTAATGATGTACATATCAACGTGATCGACCGTACGATGGTTAAGAAAATTTATATAAAAGACGAAATTTCTGATGAATCGTCGTATCAATTAAATCATCGATTGTTTACTAGCTGCATTATTCATTCGCTATGGACCAACCAAAAATTCGTAAAAAGTTAAATATGAAATTAATAGACATACAACAAAACTGGCAAACGGTATGATGGCCTGGTGTACTAGACGGTGGTTCGACGAAGCTTATTTTAAAAAGAAATATATTATCAGTCATTGCTGATTTTACGCTGTGTGGCTTCTAAACTTTGAATAATAGATAGTGAACTGATATAATTGGAAAATTTACATTTTAGTTTTAAAAGATTTTATTAAATTCTTGATCAAAATATGTATGAAGGTGTAGTTAAAGGGTACAAAGTTATTCAAATGAACAAATGAAATTGACAAAAACAAAATAAATTCCCTTCATTTTTGAGAATAATAGTTTTTTTTGACAGTTCGTTCATAATTTTTGTCTTAATGCTAGAATTTTAATATGATTATTTTTAATTGGATTACAATGATCATCAAATTTGTAAAACCACATTATTGAAAATGCTTTCGACTATGTGTTGATGAAGTTGATTGATTTGTAGAGTTAAGACGATTCGAAACTAAATTGTAAATAAATTGCGCTGAAGTTGATGATGATTGAATTTGAGCATAGTTCAGATTTTGACCATCTTTAGTAATTAGTTTGGTAATATTATCTGATGCTTTAATGTCTTGTGCATATTGTTGAGCGGGCATCTTATGACGAGTATTAGCTGTTTCGGAACGTTGTAAATAAAAATGTGAAATCATATGTGTAACATTACCTTGTCCACAATCAAATGTGACAATAACCGCATCAGAATGATATTTATCATGCAAAGCTTGTGAACGTATAAGAACTTTAACATCTTCTTTATTGACAATTTCAATCGGATGTGATCCAGTTTCAAGCCACCATTGTGGTTGAGCATGTTTGGCAGCTAATACAAAACCATTAACAAATGGATGATTAGGATCTACCACTTCGATACCAACAACTTCATCGCGCGTAGATTGACCATTATGTCTAACAAAATCAGAAAACGCTACTTGTAAAACGTTTCTTAATGCCCAATCGGTTGTTATTATATGAAGACCCTTGTCAACGAATTCTCGTAAACGATGAGCAGCTTCCTTGGGAAAGTTGGAGGCGCAATTAATATATACTGTTTGATAAGCACGAAATGGATAATTAATTAATTCATGCTGTTGAACAATGCTAAATTTTAAATTAAGCTTCGTCAGTACCTGATCAATATGATCATAAGTACCTGGCACTACAATAACAGCATCCTCACGCATATTTTTTATTGTTGTTTGATCCTGTTGACTCAATCTTTCTAAAGCTATCGCACCTCCAATTCTATAAGCTTTTTGCATATCATCATCACCGTGATTTGTATGAATACGCGACGAACGAGCAGTATTTAAGTTCGTATTTGATGATTGAGTATCATTAGTAGCTTCTGCAACAAATGACGATGTTCTTGTAGGATGTTGAAAACGATCACAATGTGTCGGATCGGATTGGTCATGACAACTGGCACCATGTCTACATTGTTTTTTCGTATTTGAAACTAGACAAAATAGCAAAAACAGACATCAAAAGAAGGAATTAGAAATTCGATACAGAATCAAATTCCATTCAGAGATAAACAGCTACGACTCGAGGTACTTTACAGTTCTTTCATCTCATTTGTGATAAGGATTTGTTGGATCATTCGTAAATCCTGATAGTTTTTCGCTCATACACAGAATAAACTTCATCCTAATTTATTTAGATTTAACCCTTAAGCATTCTACATCCAGAACCTACTTTCAAATTAGCTTCTTGGTTTTACTCATTCATCGATTTGATGAGAGGCATTCTGAACTGTCTACAGCTTTAGGTTCTCCTTCCCTCTCCACCAAAATCCTAGCTGATATGGAACAGCTCTGTCCGCACATGGTGAAACATTAACAGCATCCTCGAGCATACTTTTTATTGTTGTTTCATCTTGTTTGTTGGATCTTCCAGAATTCATTCCACCTCTAATACTATGCTCTCTTTCAATATCATCACCGCTGTGATTTGTACGAATACGCGACAAACGAGCAGTATTTGAGTTCACATTTGATGATTGAGTATCATTAGTAGCTGCTGCAACGAATGATGATGCTCTTGTAGGATGTTGAAAACGAGCACAATGTGTTGGATCGGATTGGTCATGACAACTGGCACCATATTTACATTGTTTTTTCGTATTTGAAACTAGACAAAACAGCAACAACAGATATCAAAAGAAGGAATGGGAAATTCGATACAGAATCAAATTCCATTCAGGGATAAGCAGCTACGACTCGAGGTACTTTACAGTTCTTTCATCTCATTTGTGATAAGGATTTGTTGGATCATTCGTAAATCCTGATAGTTTTTCGCTCATACACAGAATAAACTTCATCCTAATTTATNATCATTGTCAGACTCTCTTTCTTTAGTATTAATCAATACAAATAAAATTAATCGACGTGTATGCACATGACCGTCTGTTCTCATAATTGTCTTACACACAATTGTCCATACACACAATTGTCTTACACACAATTGTCCGTTCTCACAATTGTCTATGCGCACAATTGTCTGCACACAATTGTCGTACACACAATTGTCCTACACACAATCGTCATAGACCCGTGTTCTATACGTACCATGTAATTCAATTATATCACGTGCTACTCTATTGAGCGGTAATGAATCTATATGATTACTATCGATTTTAGTTCCATCCTGCAATGGACATTCGAATTCACCGTTTTTGACAGAAGCCACTTGTTTAATACATTTAAAACAGTAAGTATGTGAACAAGGTAGTATACGTGGATCATCGAAATATTGTAGACAGACCACACAAGTAATAGAATCTTCAATTAAAGGTACGTTGCCAGATGCCATATATACTTAGTTCGGTTGAGGATTAATCTGAAATGATGACAATACATATTCACAAAATATTATGCTTGGAGCTAAAAATGCTCGAGATAGTTTTTCAAGGGTGTGGGTGTGGGTATGAGTGTCTTTCTCTGCACAATGATATTCAAACCTGACTTGGCTACCAGCTCAGATGTCAAACAATGAAGATAGTCATGGATTGATGTCATACCAAACTAATTAATTTTAATAAAATGCTATGTATGAAATGAAACATGTATTCTCTAAACACGTTTTCATTTATTGAATTTATTTAGCGATATTGAAATTGCTAAAATACATCGTCAGCATAATGAACTAATTCACGTTTATCTTTGAACATCTACTCGGAATATTGTGAAGAGACCAAGATTTATGATCTAACTGTTTCTGGCGATCTAGATGCCACAAAATTGGTGGAAAAAAACATTTTCAGCTCGGCTAGAAAAATAAAATAAAAAATGTTAACGATTTTGTCTCACCTACCAACTTATTTACGTACGGAGTTTCCATGGTGCTCTACCTTCGCATGCTGTCGTAAAAGTAATGTCAAATATTACATTTTTCACTTGTGTGTCTCGCTGTGTATTTAATTGTTGCAAATAATAACCATGCTTTTACTCGTTCTCTACATGACAGAGCACAGCAGTGTAACTTGAGCAAATCAACATCAATTTTGCGTAGTAGACATTTGGCGAGAGAGAAAAAGAATCGCAAAACTATAATAACAAGATTTTACTTTTCAATTGGAGAAGAGTAGATGTCAGAGAGTGAGCTCTGTAATATTTAATTCTGAACTTCATTCATTACGTACATTGGTGTAAAAATTGGATTATTGGACTCTTCTTGTTTCCTCCTATCAATGGATAGATAACTTTGGTCAATATTCCACTCAAGTTGCATGTTTGAAAATGCTGTTTGAAAGGCAACAATCTCAAATACCAAATGTTTTTTAATTGAAAGATTGATTTACATGATCTGTTTGTAAAGGATGGATGTGTGAGTGAATCGTGGGTATGAATTTTTTGTTCAAAGGATGAGTGTGAGATTGTAGTTAGGTGTAGTCGTGGACGCATGAATACCAGATAAAAGCAGCGAGATCCATACCCCCAACCTTTTTTCAAATATAAATTGGTATTTCTAAAACTTTGTTTTTAATATAGATGATGCTTCCCCTCATAGAGCAACGATCTCAGAGAAATATTGAAGGATGTGAGTGTTGGCGTCAAGACGATTTTAAGTCACACCCAGATATCCACATCTCACAGCCACCCACACCCCGACCTAACCATGTATCAAGAGCATGGGATGAAATGTTTACGAGAAAGATTAAAGCTCTTAATCGATCAGATGATACCATCACCAGATGATTTAGGAATACCTGCGAACGATATATTCACTGTTCCACAACAAGACGCCAATCAAACATGGTTCAGTCGGTTCACTAATCGTTTAAAACAGCTTGTCGTTACAAGGCTGCCTGTTAACCTTGTCGAGTTCGAAACAGTTGTAGAAGCTCGTAGACAAAGTTATTTAGATAGCATTAGGACAATGCTTCGATTAATTACACTCAATAGATCAGAAGCTATCAAAATCTTGTTGTTTCTTTTATGGAATGGCATTGAAAATGCTCTATTCTATATTTCTTTGTCTTTGCACATTTAGTGATGAAGATGTTAGACTTCAAAGGAATCGACCATTTTTGGTTTTTTTTTTATTGGGTAGATTATTATGATCTGTTCTTTCTATCCTATTGGCATATTTTTAGTGATATATGGATCATTATTCTAATTGTTGTGAGTTTAACATTATCGTCTTCGGTACATTCAGATTTACCGTTAGATGGTTTTCATTCGAATTGCAGTTACAAAGTGGTAGCAATTTATTATTTTCTTACATTACTTGTATTCAAACTAGCTCTATTTATAATTCGATTTAGTTTTAACTGTGTTCCTCCGCATAGATTGGCAGCTTTTATAGTTTCGCTTGTTTATCTTTTATCATCTTATGTCCGCCGTGTATGAACTAACACCAGATGAATGAAATGATCGAAAAAATCATGTTTCGAAGGGAGTGAATATAATATATTTGATGTTTTTTTTCGATTTTAATCTTGATGTTTTATATTTTTGTATATTCATTTATAGTCGAGGTTGGACGTTTTTATTACTAAAATAATATTCGTTAACTGTATAGCGTGTACGCAGCATGATAGAGCTCATTAGAATAGACCAACTTAGAACGAATACAAACGATAAAATTTTAAAGAAACAAGTAAATCTTACATTAACTGTAATGTTCATAAAGATTGCGAAATTTAATAGATGTGTTTTCTTGTAGTACCATTAGTTTTGTAAAGAAAAAGACAACGATGAATTTAATGTATATATATATATATATACATGTTGTATCGAAGTTATAACTTCGATAGAGAAATTTGTCTATGTTATTTTTAATTCACTTATCAATAAATAATTAACTAAACTGAATCTTATGCTGCTGAATGTTTGATCAAAAAAATACACTTTGTTAATAAATATTCGTTTATTTGACAAAAGAAAGATTATTTAAAAAATAACTAGAAAAAAAGTTGAGGATGTATAGAATTGCTGGAACACATTTTAAGCATAAATTATTCCAAAAAAACGAGGTACATGCATTTAGAGCGAAATTATCCATGTAATATCATTTATTAGCACATGCTGTCCAGTTAAGACAACGAAAGTTACATAACATATTCCATTTTGCATAATTAATAGCTGTAGACAATGTTGATGATATTGTTGTTGTTAGAAGCTAAATTTATTTATAGATATAATTTCTTTTTTTTTCTTCAGTACTTTTAGAACTGATTATTGTAATAGGAGACGATGCAGGTAACGCGGTATGGATATGAATGAGGGTATGAGTGGATGTCGTTCTTGTTTTCATCGGTATCCACACTCGCACCCACATTTGCACCATGATCGATAACTATCTGATGGTTTAGGACATCGTATAAATGGATGCCGACTGATGAGTAGTTCTTTTCTTGCTCAAATAGTGGCTGATCGTCTACAAGATGAATAAGAACCAAATCCATATGTGAACATGCTATATCTATACATATCAATCCTTAGCGATGTCTTCATCCAATTATACTATTGTTTGAATTTAAATTGATCAGTGCTGCTCATACAAAACTAGATGAACATTCTACAGACTGTCCTACAGCTTTACCAATATTCTTGGAATGTCGACCGAAGTATTGGTGTTTTGTTTCGATGACTAACGAACAAGTTCTCATCGGTAATGTTAATATAACTTCGATAGAGAGAAACTTATTAGCTAAATATCAAGGTTCAATATAAATAGAAGAAACAGAAAGAAGTTCATATCTACGTGATATGGAATTATTACAATGATGTGTCAATCATCTGTCATCACCTTCACCCAACTATCAATTTTGATTACAACAAAAAATTGAACAATATGAATTTTTTCGAACTTAATTAGATCGATTTGCTACATGCTTTCTTGATCTCTACAATGCTGCCATTGGTATGGAGGTGGATGTCGTTCTTATTTTCATTGATATCCGCAATCACACCTACACCCCAAAGGAAGTAAAAATATACTATTGTATTAATCAATACCTGCAGCATATAAAAATTAGCTTGAGAGTGTAAGTTTGAAACTTGTTTTCTTCACACTCACACCCTAATATAAGCTATAGATATATCTAAGACAATTATCGATGGAATCGAATCAGTTTTTCTTGTAGCAGATATGCATGCATCAACATATGTACATAAAGTAACATTTGATAGTTCTGTCCTAATTCATAAGATGTCTTTGTTTGTTCGATTAATTTTTTTGTTTTTCAAAATATTTTGTAATCTTCCACTGAATGAGTTCATTTTTTTTGCTTTACTTGTTGTCATTCAGCATTCGGTAATTTATAAACATGCTAAGGGAAGTGTTATTACTCACCATTACGAACTTTGAAATACACCAAATTCATTCGAACTTGGGAGAGGAGGAAATACGAATTTAACCAAGAAACATAAAACAACAACATTGAAACACAAAAATCTCTCCTTATATATTCTTCAAAAGAAATCTCCTTTCTCTCTCTCATGTGTCATGGTATACCAATGACAGTTCTTTTTTTAAGATGGAAGAATAAAACACCTGGATCAAGAAGGATGGAGACAAAAAGCATCAAGCAATGTAAACAATGATGTTAAGACAGAACATACTAGCATACTCAATCTATATCATGGCCAATGGTCATGACATTCAGCCCCACACCCACACCCATCTTGAGATCACTCTACGGAAATGTAACGAAATAAATGTGAACAAAAAAAGAAACGTCGTAAATTACAATAGAAATATTTATATATTTTCTTGTCTTTCTTCGACTAAGAAAACAAAGACATAAACTAATCAAGCGTGTGTGATGGAACTAAACTGAAGATCCTTACGGTAACCCACAGTTGCCGTCACATACAGTCCACCATTATTCCACTTTCACAAAGTATTCACAATCATTTATATTTTCAACTTAGAAACAAAGGATTGTTATGAAAAGTTTTTCTATCGGTCACGATCCTAATCATCGTGTTAGACTCTAATTTAAGCAAGTTTACCGAAAAGAATAATAAAATAAATTGTCTTGACATGCAGCATTGGAATGTGTTGGAAATCGTTTTTAAAAAGACCATATTAATACTTGAGCTTTGAAAACCAGTAGTATTTTTATAACCATTTGTGAGAGTTATTTGAAGAAAAAATTCTTGACACATTCTTATGATTGTATTTGTGTCTTTCGCACTTATCGTACTAAAAAATTGTAATTCAACTATATACATATTTCCAATGTAAACTCAGTCAATTTTGATATGGAAAACTACTCATTAAGTAGAAGAATCTCTCTTGATTTAATTTAATGACTAATAACATATTGTTACATGCGTGCGATTTTTGTATCAATCGTAATCAACTATTAGAATATAATATAAATAACGCATATATTCAAAACAAAAATAAGGACAACAATAGACTAATGAAGCGCAGCAAGAAGCAACAATAATAAATAGTAAAAACGACTCACGATTAGTCATTAATATGTATACAAGCATGATCGTCCCCTTAAGTAACAAACAAATTGATGTTTTACTCAATTCTGGTCTCGATGAACAGCTGTCGGTAGATGAAATTATTCAGAAGTTGAGCCAATTTTCTCTCAATTCAATATTGGATCATCTTACCCATCGATTTTTTGCTTTAAAATTTTTTCCTCGAGTCAATCAAATTCTAGAACAATGGAGTAAAAATGACCGAACAATGTTGAATAAAAATGATTCAACAACACTGCGTCATGCAAGTAATTTAATATTGCAGATGTCAGACTCAATGAACAATCAACTTGAGAATAATAAAGCTTTACTGGATACAATTAAAATATGCTTGAATAATATTTCAACATTTGGTTACTACATTATGAAATTGAACCAAGAAGAAGACTCCAATCTAGTTTCATTCGATTGCATAGTACAAACTTATGGAAATATCAAGTGAGCTAAAATTGAATATCTGTTTTTTTTTTCATTGAGTTATTCAATGCAGATGTAGAGCTCTTGTTGAGTCAATATCACGTTGTGCCACATCAAGATTTTCTGAAGACGCTCTTTTTGGTATATGTGGTCTTCCACTGAATAATACAGAACATTTTCTACTCGTCACATGTCCTGATTATGTTCTCAAATGCGATGAAGAAAATGGAAAGTATGCTCACTTCATATTTGATCAAATGCATTTTCAATACTCTAAAGTTTTTCGTTGTCCATATGGAGATATCAGCGATTTGATAAATAATTATTCGGTTTGCTTGGTTTCTCCCTTGCGACTGATTGCTTTTGCAATTCGTTCACTAGATTTGAGCGAGAAACAATCTTTCAAAGATATTGCCATTAAAATTCTTGAATATGGCTGGATCAATTTGAATTCAAATTCAAATGAAAACAAGTTCACTTGGAAAAAACTTGTTCATTCATGTCTTAAAATTCTTCTCGAAATTGGTCGTTCAGTTCCACAGTTACTTAATGATATACATGAAAATCAAGAATCCTTCACAAAACTTCTTGACACTCTACTAAAGCTAAGCAATGATCAAGAAAACGAGTATGTTCAACTTCAAGCATGTGAACTTATTGCATTGATTGTATCTGAAGAACAATTTTCCAGAATAGTTGATATAAAAAAGGTTCAAATTTTAATTTTTTATAAAGAAATTATAGTCATGATTCTATCTTTTACTTATCAGGTCATTGAACTCTTTATGAAGAAGTTTATTGAAGCAGTAGAAAATGAAAGTATTGACAACAAAGAATACAATGCATCAGCGGAAGAATTGCTCTATGGCTTGAAAAGTTAGTTTTTTCGGTTCATTCTTTCTATCTATAAGCATCAATTCAAAAGTAAAAGAAAGTTGCCTTTTTTTTTTAATACGTTTTCTATCTAGATATAATTGAAAACAACATTATTCGAGAGCAACTCGTAGAACAGAATAGTGTTCCATATCTGATTAAGTACGCAAAGAAATGGCCGAACAGTGAAATTCCACTTGAGATCATTTATGCCATTGTATTCACTGCAAAAGGCAAAGAAGAACTAAAGAAAGAACAGTACAAAGACTTCATTGATCATATTAAACGACTTCATCTCTCGAGCAACGAAGAAGTTCGACAAGCGGCACATGGAATTAGTTGGAAACTTGCTGGTGAAAATAATTTCATTGAGGCTATTGAACAACAAGAAAAGACGCTTCAGAACAGATTGCCATATTGTCGGTTATTATATATTCAAGGCAATTTGAAGAATAACAGTTCACAAAATTCTGTAATAGATACGTTTCACGTGATGATCTCTTATTCCTGGAAGAATAAAATACTTTGTCATCAGATTTACGAACATTTTTTGAATGATGGGTATCGAGTTTGGATCGATGAGAACGAGATGTATGGTTCGATAATCGAAAGAATGGCTGAAGCAATCGAAAAATCAAGCTTCATTCTTGTATGTATGTCGAGTGATTATAAGAAAAGTACTAATTGTCAAGCAGAAGCTGGATATGCATTTAATCGCAAGAAAACAATTGTTCCGCTCATAGTCGAACCAAAGTATAAAGCAGACGGATGGCTCGGCTTTATTGTTGGAAATAAAATTTATATAAACTTTGCTGAGAGAGAGCATAATGAATTTGAAACAGCATACAAAATGCTTCTTGTTGAATTGCAACGCAATGGTCTGGATTTGTTGCAATCGTCGACTACTTCAAGTTGCTCAAGTAGAGATTCGGATAAAAGAAAATATGAACAGCCAAGACCATCAATGTTCGAGTCAAAACTGAACACTCAAACAATGCAAAGTGTCTATACACCAATGCCTCCAGTTCCACTACCAAGCTATCGTCGCATCTTACGAATCGATAATTGGGACGCAACAAATGTTGTCGAATTTCTTGTTGACAATAATTTGAAGAGTCTACTGCCAATATTGAAAGGTACTGATGGTCAGGGTCTCATTGAACTTTATCGAGTCTACGAACGTTCGCCAAACAATCTTTATAAAATGTTCAGTAAAGATAGGCAAATGGTTTCACTTGGAACCTTTTTTAAATTCATTGGAGCTTTGAAAAAATTAATTTGTACTTCTGAACAATATTTCGATTCTTAGAAAGTGAAAATTGTATATGACAATATTAAGAAAAACAATTATCGAAAAAAAATATTTTTATTAAAGTTGTCTTCTAGATTTTTCTGTCTAACGTTAACATTGTTAGTAATAAGTATAACTTGATTTTTAATCTCGAAACAGTGACATATTCACAGGAGAATCTATTGAGCCATTGCCCAGTATTCTATAATAAACTGTTCGTAAGGGAGTCTCTTCTGTTGCACCATTCCGATTCCATTCATTTTGCTTGGCCTATATATACTACATGGCCCTCTAATAAAAATCCTAAAATGGTTTGGATTTCTATTGATATTTGATTAAGCTCTAGAAGTTTTAATATATATATATTTTCTGGATCTCAGGTTTTTCGAGCACTCATATTTTGAACAAAGTCTTTTCAAGATATGAAGCTTTCGAAAAACATATGTTGCATACGCTATCAATGGAAAAGGATCTATATCTTGAAAATTTCTTATTTCCAAAAGACTTTGTTCCAATCTGGTGAGTTTTTTTTTTAATGAAAGCTTGTCTAGTTGAATTCTCTAAATGCGCAAAGTTTCAGATCAAATTTCAAAAATATGAGTGCTCGGAAAACCTGAAAGTCTAGTGTGACTTCTAGAAAAAGATATGTTCACAATTCGATGTTTAGTCACACATCAATAGGAACCTAAATCCTTTAAGGTTTTTATTAGAACACTATGTAAAATCTACGTGACCCATTGCCAAAATATTGGATAACATTCAAAAGTAGAATTCTTAATAGCACAGTTCTCTTAGAAATTTTACCTTAAAAAACTGATTGATCTCTCTAGATTTTTTGGAGGACAAATGGAAGCAAGAATAGACCGTTGCATGATTAAATTTGCATTATTTTCTAAAAGTTCTAACTATACGAATTGACCTGTTGAAGAATAATGTTGTACAGAACGCTTCATCTTTTCCATGACATACGCTCGTTCTCTAGCACAATATAGGCTTTATTTTGTATAAAATCCAGGAAATTTTCTTAACTATTACAAGTTAACTTAATATATATATAGATGAGTTCATTTAATAATGTAGAATAATATTCGAAATTTATCCTACAGGTCTTATGAAAATATTTTTAAATTTAGCAATCATATTCCAAACTATGGCTATATTAATTGAAAGCATGAGAAGATAAAAAATATAATCAAAGTAGACTCTATTATATAACACATCCAAGTGATTGCCTTACAAGTATAGTTGTCGATGCAGGAAATTTCTTTGTTGACAATAGAAATAGGTATATATTGTGGAAGTAGCACTTAAAACACATGAAATACCATCTGCTTTATGTGAGGCATGCTATCTTGACGACTAGTTTTTAAATGATTTTTTTTCAACGTATATTAATGTAAATATGTATAACAACAATGCACTCTAATTACTTTTATCAGCATAGGTTCTCTTGATACAGTTCGACAAATCCATGATCAACCATGTCCTTCTTATAAATACTTGTCGTCAACAAATTATCCAAAATCTAGAAGTTCCTATCTAGTAGTCAACGATATATCACTTAAACAGCTTTGGTTTTCAATGTTTAATTGTTATATACTTAGTCGAGGTCCTTGTTGTGAATACAAGCCTTACCGGCGAGTTTTTAATTTGCAAATATTATATGATGTATCGTTTCTATTTGTTTTTCGAAAGAAAAACAAGACATTGTTAAAATAGAATTGTCTCGTTTCAATTATTGGATTTTTTTCGTCTCTTTGTTAGCTTAGAACCTATCTGGTAGCATGGCCAGCTATTGGATAATTGCCCACGAATTTCTTGTGCTGATAATAATTACTCAATGGTTTAACAGAAACTGCCGACAGATTTAGTCTAAGGTGGTGACAGTTGCCCACATCTCGAAATAGTTGGGCTGGGAAATTGCCTATGACTGAAAAATTTCTGATTACGCCATTGAGCTTATCATTATTGAACTTTAAGAGAATTAAATAAAAACATGATGTTATTTACATAAAATAAACATTCACTCGAGTACCTTGTTTGTCAAAAATTTAGATTTGTTTTTATTTAATTGACAGTCATAATGCTATGATAAGTATGAGTTTATATAATCGTTTAAATAATATTGAACCGAACAGTTCTTTGTATTTTTATGGATTAATACCATTTCAAATTAATTCCCGCGATATTAAGTTATTTTCTTGTACTTGATATCTCAAAAAAAAACTCTAAGGCAAAAATCTCAGTGCCCGGTTCCAAGAAGTTTCTGGTTTCGATCGAAAAACTTCATCAGTTTTTGAAGCATGCTAGCACGAAATACAATGATCGTATCCGATTGCTGATAGTAATATATATATTCATTTACTAGATTACTGTGGGTGTGGGCTCAGGTGTAAAATAACACAACAGCCACAATCACACTCACCTTCTTAGCTGCTCCATCCATCTTTGATACTGATCGATAAAATTGTTTTCTACTTATGCGAAAACGACAATGAATGCCTGCGCTTGTGGAGAAATAAACAAATTTCATTTTTCTTCTGTCCAGTTAATGAACAGAATAGAAATGATAACATTATAACTGGAGAGGCAATGGATTTTATGACACTACTTTCTTATTGTCTCAATAAAACAATCGATAGGAATTTTAGTTTTATTGCTTCAAGTCGTTAATGTATTAACATATTATAATGGGTAGGGTAAAGTTTCTACATTGAAATTTGCTTTTGGCATAGCATTGTAATGGAATATCGTAGAGATTTAATTTCTTTCGGGTGAGCGTGGGTGTTATACAATAGAAAACTCATACCCATTCTAGTTTCATATTTTTCCTATATGAAATTATTTTTAAAGGCATCGTACAAATTAGGATGCGTATAAGCTATAGTTTGGTGTGGTGTTCGAAGTGACTTAAGTAGTTAATATCCAAAGGGAAAACAACTTGTCAGGTAGGGAGTTTCGTCATGCACAATATCATTAGATGTTTTACAGTCACAAGAATTTTTCTGCGAAATAGGAACTCGTATTCTGTTTAATATCGAATGTTTTAATGGAAATAATTTTGTTTCAGATTGGCATTTTCGAGCAAATACTCTACAGAAATGTCAGATGAGGTTCACTGTTCCCTCTTCTTAGATGCATATTGAGAAAAAAAACAATAAAAATCAACTTGCAATTGATATGATCTGATTAGTTGATGTTAAATTATGAATTTGATTTAGCATTGCTAATCGTACAGATGAACACTGATGATATTAACTGAAGATAACCAAATTGATGATTTTATTTGTTTACACTGATCTATTTTAATAGAAAAGTCCTAAAACCGAAATGGCACATATCTTATTTTGTTCAAATACTCAATTACGAAAATAAATGATTGTATTTATTCAACGTATGATTACCATAGTTCTTTTTTCGTCGACTTTTACTTCCTTGGAAAAATTATATCAAATAATAGAATGAAATGATTCTTATCTAAAAATGTCAAAAGCAAAGCATCTCTAATTATACTTTACTTGATATGTCTCTCTATGTTTATTTGTATTCTATTTTCAATATCTAGGCGGTCGAATTTTCTTATGACTTTCGGTGAAATAAATTCAATCAGAAATAAATATTTTGTTGGTATTTTCCAAGTAAAAGCATCTGACATACGTTTTGGAGAATGAATCATGGTAAAGGGCATTTGAAAGAAAAATGTAAAAAGGTAAGAATAAGCAGCGCGTTGCTTTATTCTTTCATTTACCCCCCCAAAAAAAAACCAACATTCATTACTTTCGTCTCGTCATAAACATTTAATTGCCAGGTGTAGAATAATCATGACAAGCAATGCATCAATGACAATTTCATCAATAGAAGAAGAGAGTATTGATCGAGATCGTATTGTTAATGGTGATCTCGTACCTGATGAATATTTTTGTCCAATTTGTCAATATCTTTTATGGAAACCACGTTCATGTTCATCTTGTCAACATCTTTTTTGCGAAAAATGTATTCGAATGTGGTCAGAAAATTCAAATAATGAAAATAAATGCCCATTTCGATGTCAACCATTTGAAGAACGAAGTTGTCCACCATATCTTCAATCATTATTATCTCATTTAAATATTCATTGTCGAAACTCATCATTTGGTTGTAGAGAAGTTCTCTCATATGATGCATTGGAACATCATGAAAATGTTCAATGTCAATATTTGACTCAACGATGTTCAGAATGTGAAAAATTGGTACTTATATCATTACTTGATGAGCATCGACAAATCCCGGGATTTTGTGTTCCGCAGCCAATCAAATGTACTATTTGTCAAAATCATATAGAAAAATCTGCTTTTAGAGAACATTTTCATGAATGTTGTCAAAAGAGAATAAATGAGTTAAATCAGCTGGCGTCTTTACGACAAAATTTACAAACATTAGTAAATGGCCAAGGCATAACACGACCTAATCCTGTAATGACATTTTTTCAAACTGTAACAAATACAATGCAACTCGTGGAACAACAAAAACAAATGTCACGATTACCAACAAGTTTAAAAGGAGTTAATATGATTAGACGAGCACGAGAACAGAATTGTGGTCATCTTTATCACATATTGATTATGTTGAAATTTATTTTACTTAACTGGTCGAAAATTCCGTTTTTTTTATATGTACTTTCAATTGGTGGTCTTTTTTCACTTGGAATTCTCATCCTTGGTGGATATGTTATTTTCTCTCATTGGGCTTACAGACATATTTATTATGGACCTTGTTTTATTATCTTATTAAGTTATCTTTTAAGTTATGGAACTTCAGTATTTTTTCAGTATGCTTCCGATGCAACTATTATTTTGCCTGTTGCAATAGTTATATTTCTTTGGGGTTGTACAAGTAGAGCGTCATTAGAAGTACTTGAGATGGATTATTTATTTAACAGAACAGTACTCAGTGTTGTTCTCTATTGTGTAGCGATATTGATAATGAAGATAATATTATTATCAATTCGATTCTATTATTCGTTTATGCCGATATATGTCGCAGCAGGTCTTCTGACTTGTCTCAATTTTTATCTGTCATTTAAGGCTCATCTTGTTTATGCAAATGCAATTGCAACAACTATGAATCAACCAATGTTGCCTGTGTAAAATGCTATCTTATAAATACATCATCTAACTCTCGTCAACTTATACAAAGGTGAATATAAGTTTTTGATCAAACAATGGGACATATGTACGTTTGTAAAGGAAGTCTTCTTCGATTAGATGGGTGGGTGTTCTGTTCTTTTACACCTATGCCCACATCCACACCCATAGATTCCCTATTCCTTGTAAAACCATTTATAAAAGTTCAGTTTGATATCTTTGCACAAATGAAAAACTCTTCGATGGTATAGTATGCGATTCAAATGGAAGAATAAAAATTGTAGTCTTCAATGAGGAAGTCGATCGTTTTCATAATAGAATCAGCGATAATCAAGTAATAGTTGCTATACAAATTTTCGATAAACTATTTTTTTTTTCACTATAATTATTCAAAATGGTGATATACAAATTGTCATTGAGACATTCCGTTCTCCTTACTCAATATATGAAATTTGATTATTATTAACTACTAAAATCGAATCCTATAAATATATCAACGTCAACCCAATCAATAGAGTACATATCTATCAATATATATACACAAACAATGGTCAACTACAACTAAATAATATTGAGTGTCTTACTGCACGAAAATGTTTTTTTTGTTTAACTTGTCAACATTCTCTTCTTCTTTTTCATCACCACCGTATAATTCTGATCAAATTCTAGCGAACAACAAATCTACGCATATAAAAACCAACAAAAAAATAAATATAACTCTCATCATTCTAATAACTTTTACATTTTTCAGTAAACTATAACGTTTATTATTACTACCTAAATAACTTTCAAACCCATATTAAACTCTTACAGACTAAGTCACAAACTCGAAATCTTCCTAAAATTAGAGCAATTTCTATTGCAATTATTAGCGAACTCTATATCTTCTTAAATACACTTAGATTTTCATTCAAAAAGAGAGCATTCTCTACAAATTAGAAAACGTTCACTTCATTCCAAAACTTTCTCTATTCGATAGTTTGGATGCTCTACAAAATGGCAACAACAAAACTAATTTTAAAAACTTTTCATTAAAATTTCATAAAATATTTTTTTAAAATTCAGCACATATTAATTCAAAAGTTGAAATTTTAAATATTTGAATTTTTATTCCTCATAAAAAATTAAATTCTCAACATCATACTCAACAAAAATTTGAAACAATAATTATAGTTTTAAATTCTATTTCATTTATCTTCGCAAATGAGAAGTAGCTTTCATCGTAATTCGCGGTTATTATTTTTCGGTGGACGAAATCTTTCGAACGAAATAATTGTCTCGTAGAAGTACTCAGAAAAAATGTTGAATTCATGTCGACGAACAGAAGACAGCACAAGCGATAGCATGGTAATTAATACTATATATAAGATAGCATGTTTACTGTATGACATCAGAGTGAACTTTGAACTATCTGCCATTTGACGCAGCTCCGAACGCTCTTGTTAATGTCTTATTTTAAAAGAAAGTCAGTTACCAGAGTATGAAAACAAAGCGTTGGCATGTGTATCGTACCATATCTACGACATTAATACATTTAAAAAATGCTAGAACAACAACTTTCTTTAGCAATGATTGAAGTATTACGTAGGCAACTTTAGGAAGAAATAAGGTTAAGACATTAAATATTTATGATAATCCGAGACAGGAGGAAAGTCGCCTAAGGATTACGTAATCCATTGAGAAATCATATCTACGTCGTTGAATATTAGATTAACCAGTTTTATAACCGATGTAAGCTACTCGATTGATGTGAAATACAATGTTTTTCATTGCAAATGTACGTGCACTGTCTTGGCAAATAGTTTCAATGATTTTCCGAATTGCTTGAAAAAGCACATATATAGCTGTTCGACTCGTTCAAAAACAAATTGAGGTCTATTATCTTGGTAAATTTTTCCATTTAAAGTATGTCAAAAAGTAGCTTATGTGACACTTTTAAATCTATTGCACGCAGTTTTTCCATGCTGCTATTTTGCGCTCAGTACGAATGAAGCTGCGATGTAGTTTGAAAGTGACAAAAAACACAAGTTTGCTCATGACAACAACACTCTCTATCTCAAAAATTCGTTCGTACATCGTGAATGACAACGTGATTCTCTTTTCAAATACTTGCTCATTATGAAATTTTTAATCATCTCGTATTTTTTTCCCACTCTAATATTATTGTGCACATAATGATGTCATAACCATCCTACCATGTTTGGTTTTTGCCTCTGCGATCGTTATCATGACTCAATGTAAGTTTGTACTGCAGCTATATTTGTGAGGCAATATGAGTGTAATCGAACACGTTTTCTCCATGCGAACAGAATTACTACCTCTTACGACGAAAAGAAAAAATATACACTGATGTGTGTCACAGCATGAGACATAGTGAGTAATATTAAGAAAGAAAAATATGCTGTAACCGCTTCCTCGATGAAAGATGATGTCATTTTATAAATAAAAGTCATATTTTAGTCTTCCCCACTTCTATAAATTGTATATACTATTTTTATTTTGTATTTAAACGTATAATTTCAATGTTGAGCAAGAGATACATTTCGTAATATAATATCATATTGATAAAAGGACGACAGTGGCATACGTCTGAGTCTAAATTCGTGATAGGTAAGTTCGTATACATCAAGTTCTTTGCTTTACTATAGAGAATTTCTCAAATAAAAAAAAATCGTTTATGTGTACTATGCATCAGTGTGAAAGTTTTTACAGTAGAAAATGTCTGCACCAGGTTTAAATTCCTCTGATCATCTATTGTCACAGTATTTTGAGAGATTCCTTTATATATTGTATTCATCATCTGACAATCTTCGATGACCATGATTGATTGTTAAACTATGCTCAAATTTCATTGGAAAGTTGTCAATTTTGTCCTTTTCAAAAATGATTTCATAGTAAAGATACACTTTCTAGATTTTCAAATCAATAGTCAATATCATTAGAGTCTATGTCATTGCCCACTAAAATGCTAGAGTGTGATTGCCGTCGTTGTCATAAATGTGGCAAATGTCGGGATCATGGTGCTCGTGCTGGTGCTCGCAAGGGTGCTGTATCGGGTGTTTTGAGTATAGGCGCCTTTGCTGGTGCCTCTGTTTTGCTTATAGCCTTTTTGGGTCCGTTTGGTGCTACTGGTCTTATTGTTGCAGTGAGTGGTGCTGCTCTTAGCACTGTTGGTGGCGCTGCTGTTGGTGCTGGTGCCGGTGCTGTTTTCGGTTCTGTTGGAGCCAAATTTTGTGAAGCTGGCATATGCAAATGTCGTGGCAAACGTCAAAAAATGCTATAGTTTTTTTCAGTTTTACTTATTTCAGGGATCTGTTTTATTATATAATTTGTATATATTTAAAAATAAAGTGTAATAGGATTTATGATTTCTTGGCTTTCTCGCAGGAAATATCTACCAATCTGATCAAAATCTGGATTTCGTTTTACAAATGATGATAATAATTTTGCATGCTTTCAAAATTCAAATCTTCCTTGTAGGTGTGGGGTGTGTGTGGGTGAATGAGGAGAAAACTCACACTCACACCCTGTTCTAGCCAAGATTAACATTCTCTGAAATTTTGATTGAAATTGGATGAAAAATAAACAAGTTTTTTTGTGAGAGGAAGCTTAAGATACATCTCAAGAAATAACAAATAAATTCGGATACAAAGCGATTATCTTTTTTCAGGCTTACACTAATAGAGAAATTGATGGTCAGTTTAACTGTACATATACAACAATGCTAAACATAAAATGTTATTTTATATCTTGAGTTCATCTATAATAATATTGTTGAATTAAGATACATCTTAAGAAAAACGTAATTTTCTAATACTTTTCTTGTTCATATGAATTTATCTTAAATTAAAAGTACAATACTAATTTTAACTGAAGCCAAAAAACAGTACAAAACATAAAATGTTATTTTATGTATTGATTTCACGTACAATAATTATTCTCGAATTAAAATATATGTCAATAAAAACGTTACTTCCTAATAAATTTCTTCTTCCTTTATATTTATCTTAATTCAGAAATGTAATGATAATTTTAACTACACATAGATAACAAGACGAAAGAGAAATATTTTATTTTTCTGAATTGAGGCACAATAACTTTTTAGAATTAAGATGCATCGTAAGTAAAAACACAGAAATTCATAAGCAGAGCGACTATTGTTTTTTAGGTTTGTCTTCGTCAACAAATGCGATCTTGACTTGAAGTACAATAAGATTATTGAATTAATATACATTTCAACAAAAAAAACCTCACTTATTAACAAGTTTCTTCTTTCTCTAGGTTTATCTTAATCTAGAAATGCAATGATTAATTTAACTCAACGCAGAACACAGGGTGTGGGTGCAGATGTGAATATCAACTCCACATCCCCACCCCACATCCACCAATCCACTCACACCCCACACCCAAACCCTTCTCTTCATCAACACTCACACTCTTCTCTTCGCCAATACCCACACCCTCTAACAAGGTTTGACCTTTTCCCAAAAAATCTTGCGTCGCTTGTTAAATTTAAGTTAGCTGAGCATATGATACTATTCCTACTGTGATTCAAGATTTCGGTTTAAGAAGATCCGCCGAATCGACGCGATACTTATTTATAGAATTTCATTTATTACAAACAATGGCACTGCCACAAGAAACTTGATTAAAATGAAACTCCACCAAATGCAGTCGATACAACTATTCATAAATCAGTTGTGGTGCTAAGTTCGGTGGTAACAGAGTTGCTAAACTTTGGCACGATTTTGCTCTCATCCAATCAAGTGTTATATCAGCTGTTTGCATAGTAAACCCTCCATGGTCCCGAATATGTTGATTAATATGATGATATGCATAACACACTGTCACTTTACAACTATTATCAACATTTGTTGCCACGAGTAGATAGGTTGCTGTACCATTTCTGCCACCGACTCTGAATTCCAATTGTTTAAATTCTGTTGCACCAGCACCACTAAATTCAATATTGAAGCACAATGTTTCTTGAAACGTATTCCATCCATCAGCACCACTTAAGTTTAGGATTCTCCCTAGACCTTGTAGATATTGTTTGCCATCTGCCTTGTTATTCAACTCTTTAAAACTACTGAAACAGGTATGATCTCTCGACAAAGAGTTTTGAGACGAATGTCGTTCATACGCGTCGATGTACGCACGTTTAACACGAATTTCATTTACCATCTGAAAACTAGCAAAACAATCATAATGACAAAGAGAATGAGTGTGAAAAGTGTATTCGCACATCACTGACTGTAAATGAACTAAGAGAAAAAAAGCAGTTTGTTTTCATTCCTTTATTCTTACTTAAGATGATGAGGAAAAATCATGGTTGAGCTCAATACAAAGGACATCATGCTCTTGCCGTTCATACTTAGTGTACACCATTGAATTGAATTCTGATGGCCATTTCAACTCTGTATCGAGTCTCCTGTACCACAACAAGAGTAAACGTGCAAGGTACTTCTCCGAAGTTTAGCGGATAGGAAAATTGTGTAGGATTTTTCAAACTCTTAATTGCGTTTGACAAATGTTCTAGAAACCATTCAGCGCAACCACACGTTTTGCTGTACTCCAATATTTCAGGTATCTTAGTTAAAAACCCACTTTCCGCTTTGTTCACTGAATGGTATCGCCACCCACTAGTCCACGAGCTCCATTTACTTTGTCTTATAATATCGCTAGCCTCTCGATCTTGTAAAACTTTGGTATTTTCACGTGAAAATATTACAGCTTTTTCTGCATGGATCCCTGGACTATCCAAGAAACGTGGCATTGAGTGTCCTATTTGCTCGTTGGATAAACGTAAATCATTGCACGCACGTTGTTTCAACCATGAGAGAGCCATACCTTCTTTGATCATCACGTTTTCATGATCACCCGATTGGATGGTAGATCTCGACAGTTTATGACGAGAGAGAGCAACCTGTTTTCCTTCAATATCAGAACGTTGTTTTATCACAAGGAGCAAGAAGCATAGATCACCCATTTCATCCACATATTCGAGACTACTCGTAAATTCATTACACAAACTATGAATTGATTGTTGCAAGTCATGAATCATCTTATCCCCAAGTTTTTGATGGTCAATGTTCCATATACGACACTGGCCAATTATATAAGGTTCAACATCATTCGCATTGTGGAGAACCTTCATACTATTTACTGCCGAGTATTTCCAACATTCCATCTTCCTTGATGTTGATCTTTGGTCGCAGCAATTCCAAGGCATCGTACGCAATTTTCTTATTTCTAATCTAGAATGTCAGATATAGGATTCGGCTATAACCTGCCTTATGGTGAGTATGGGGTGTGAATATATAAGTGTGAGTGATTTTGGTGTGGGTTTGGATGTTTCTGTGAGCTGCATGTGCTTGTGAATTCTCTCTTCACCTACCCATACCCTAGACGGATATGTTTTTCATTGTCGTTTTTCATGAATCTTCTCAGAAAATTCCACCCAAATTATGCTGAAACGTAGTGAGATTCATTTTGTATTCGCAGTATATTTATCAGGATTTAAATTTTTTTAGATATCTGTTTCTGTTATTTTTAAAATAACTTCATAATTTTATCGCAAATACAGGTGCATTGAATCACATTCTGGCATAATTTGAGTGAAAGCTCTTATATAAAATCATGAAAAAAGACAACAAAAAACATATCAGTCTAACAAAGATCAGGCAGAAACTTTTTAAACTTCAAGATTCTTATACAGACAGACAACTCGGATACTGCTCTTTTAAATGACGAAAACCAAACAAATCGAAAGAAATCTGAAACATGAAGTTTTTTTTATTTCTTTGGAAAAGAAGCTAAATCAGGCAACTACATAGTAATGTATCGTGCAAAAGAAACCTCAAAACTTTGAATTCAAAGGCTCACCATCTTTACATCAATATTCTTAATGAACAAATTTTCAGCAGACTGGTTATTTGACTTGAAAATAAAACCTATTGAAATTGAACAAAACTCTTTCTTATTTACTTATGAAGAAAAATGTCCTACCTACACCACTATTATATTCGGAAATGTTTCCATTGCTCTATCTAGTCAGACAAGGGCTCATTTTAACGCGTGAAAATGTACACTTTTTACGCTTTAAAAATCGTAAAAAGACGATTGTTTTTTAATTTTTGTAACAAGTAAGTTTGCGGATCTCACAGGCCTCAGACTCGCTATTTTAGCAAAAATAAATTTTGTAAACGTAAAAAGCATACATTTTTACGTGTAAAAACGGTTTTTTTATATTGTTTTTGTCTGACTGCGAACAGAGTGCGAGAAAGAAGACCTTCAGTGTGAATGCTTTGTAACATGACAATAAAGATTCCACTAATATATTAGTTCTCAATGAAAATCAAAGAATGACTTTCGAACTTTGAGATGAATTTATGATTAAAGCAACAAGCATTTCATTAGTGTTGCATGGCTTCAAAATAGTTGGCTTTCTTGACGCTTCAATTGTCTACAAAGACGGCTGAGTTAATAATTTTCTTAGATAACTATCTTCAAAAAGAAAAAGATTAAGTTTGATTTGTACTACTACTTAATTAATTGGAAAATTCTTTCTAGTACCATCAGACTTTTGCGATTATTATAAAAAGCAATCGATCTGTTGTTATCCAAAATAAAATTCTTCTACAAATATTGCGTCCATTGTGAGAGACTCTATTTTATTACTATCGAGACGAGCTTAAGAATAATTCAAGCCGATAAATCTGCATTCTCGTGTGTCAGAGACAGAAGAAAAAAGGTCCCAAGAAATCAAAATATTTTTTCTTCAATCTTTCGGCTTCATTGGGACTTTTCAACTATTTTCGATTATGCATCTTCTTGGATCCAAAACTCAGACAACTAAAAAATCTAATAAAAACATAAATCAAATCTGAAAAAAATCCATAAGCCTCCTCTTATCAGTATTAAACATTATCTCTAACAGCTGGTGTCTGGAAAGATGCATGGATCTCTTAGCTTCCAACTTCAACACTTACGATTAATCGTTTTACAACAAAAATTTGAGTTTTTTTTTTTACCTCTATTGAATCACATAGAAAGAGCGCTCGACATTTGTGTCATTACTTCTATGCTGCACGGTTTTTATATAGAAAATGTGAGAAGTGCTTTTCAGTTTCACTTTTTTCTCTAATCGAGTAGAAACAGTTTGGAGCATTAAATAATCAGTAAACGGAAGAGAAATATAAATGCAAACTTTCAAAATGATTAATTCAATGACAGTTAGTTTTTCTTGTGAAGCATACAAAATAGATTATGCTGTTTAAACAGTTTTAAAAAAAAAACAGTTTACCTAGTTGTTGTGCTTTCTAGAAGAACTTGGACAGGCAACTACATACGTAATGTTCGCAGTATACACGATTTTCCAGTAAGTAACCAAATACTTAAACCAAATAAAGGGGACTAGGACTACATGTCTTCACTGTATGACTAGAAGTAATGTACAGAAAAACGTTTGCATTCGTCCTGTTTTTTTTCTGGAGACTGCTTGATCATATTGCGCAGTAGGAAAATTTATTTTTTGCTTCAATGATGCGAACGAAGTATAAAGTACATGTATGCAAATGAATATTTAATACACAAGTGTTTGAGTATTTACCTAGCTTTCATGTCACTCTTAGAACAGTCATTTGAGAGTGAATTAGCTATAGCTGATTACGCACCAAACAAGTGTAATATCACTACCTTACAGCATAAAATTATTCCGTGAGTGTTGTTTAAGGGGCCTTCCCCTTACCTATCCAAAATTTAAAATTTTTCGTTTTTTCTACTCTGCATATGCTTCGAAGTACCTTCCATCTATTGGTGATGTTTTGAGAACTCAAATATAGGTTTACAGTGAAAAAAATATCGGAAAGATAAAATGATAGTCGTAGCGGTATAGCACTGTTTTTTCGTTCTATCATAGTTTTCTCGACACCTGTTTTTTCAGCAAAAACCTACAGAATATTCTACGTTTCTTAGGCATGGTATATCCGATCGAGCTGAGGTATGGGTATAGATGTGGGTGCGGGTATGCGTGTGCGCGAAGATAAGATCATTCCACACCCCACACCCATCCCGGCAAGTCCCATTACTAAACTATCTCTGTTCCTAGAATAAGCCAATATTGAAAATAGCAGTGGTTAGAGTTGCATCTGAAGTTGCCTTGAAGAGGTCTAAATTGGCATGAAACTGATGAAAATTCCTCTGGAATTTATTAGAGTCCGTATTAGCTTGGAGTAGAAACAGTTCATTAAACAAGAAGTTACTTTGCCAGTTATTCGGTTAATGAGTAACAGCGAAATTATAAATCTACGTCTTTCTCCTAGGAATAGCTTTTGGGAAAATGCAAAGTTTTTTTTATGAAGATTGATCACAGTTTTTCGAAATTAACGAATCCTAATTAGTAAGTAGTCTCCCAAAATATTGTCGTATCTTTCACGGTCAAGTGAGTTGCATCCGAAACCCTACGTTTTAGCCCTAGTCAATATCTATTCCAGTCAATTCCAATTTCAATTCCAGTCAGTTCTAAGAACTGGACTTGGACGTCCCTATTTCATCGTTTCGTCGTGATCAAAACGCATTTATATTAAGCGATTACCATTACTATATATAGCATAATTCTTGAAGAAGAATCCATATCGTTTTTTTACAGAGTAAATATCTTTCATGCTGTTTATTTTGGATTAAAAATGAATTATGTTGATAAAAAGAGAATTAGACTAACAATACATAATACGACATTCACAATGAAAAGAAAGTAATATTTATTTTGAATCATAATCAGCATCATAATACACATTGGTATAGACAGGAACCTTTCGTACCATTCAATTGCTGCTTGAAAGTAATCAATAACAATAACACTGAAAATCAAAGACACTGTGCACACGATAATTTCAATATGCAACGGTGGCTCTACGATGAGGCTGATGCTTCCAAAGATCCAAGACACAGCAAGCTTAGCGACAAATTAAATAATGTTTGTGATGAATACATAGTTGTCAGGTTTCCCCCGAGGATGCTTGAGCAAAATGTACATCGATCGATACCAAAAGTATCCTCGACATAGAGGGAAATGATTAGTCCAAAATCAAGTTCGTGGCTAAATCAAAGTACAAAAATGGATGATATAGGAACAATTAGTGTGTTGAAGAGAAACTTACTTCCGTCCCAATCCAAACTTGTAT